TACACTTCTGGCTGAGAACCACAGACAGTTTCCTAAAGACACTGCCAGAATAATTCACAGTCTCTGCAGCATTCCATACAGTCCCATTAGGATGCTTGCTCCTAGTTCTCTGCCTGTGTCACCCAGCAAGCCCAAGCATGGCGTCTATCACCATACCAGCCTGGTGGAGTTCCCTAAGCAAACCATGACTTTTAAGAACTCCATCCCTTGATCTATGCTGCCGTTAGGTCTAGCTAATTGTCTTCATTACTCAAGACTCATTTTTCCTTCAAGATTCACTAAGAAAAGCCTTTTCAAATAGTCTTCCTTTTCTCTTCCCTCCAAATCCACTCTACTTTGGATGGCTAGGTTCTTTGTTTCCCCTGTATATTTCTCATCAATATCCACTAATACCACTTATTTATTCAGATATGTTCATATGTGGGAAGATTTTGCCTATTTAATAGTCAAAACCTGTGTAACATGTGTAGAATATGCTTCTTATAGCAGTCACTGAGTAATCCTTTTACATTCCAGAGCAAAAATACCACTAGCTGACATGAAATACACATGGAAATGTGTACTAACAATTGTCATCTAAATCATTCTGCCTCCATTATGAAATTGTTTTTGTCAAATAGATTTTAAATCTCACTATATTTTATATCTGTTTTTATTTATCTTGCAAATAATTACTTAAATTACTTACAATCAATTAAAATTCTTAGCCCTGCAGCTAGAGTGTACTAGTCTTTCTCCTACCTCTGGATCAGTCTGGTTCCATGACCTCTGCATACTTATGGAATTTTAAGAAAACCAAGTTGAGAAGATGGTTTTATATGCTCCCCAACCCAGTGGAGAAAACAGATTCAAAGCATATTTTGTTGCACCCACTTTTACACCTAGTTCTATCAGACATTTTAGTATTTGTCAAATTCTGATGATAGAAATTTAAAATCTTCTTGTTTAAGCTCCATTTTTACTTCTTATGATGTTAAATATCTTCTACAGGTTTATTGGCCTTTATGTTATGGCTTTTGTGAATCATCCATCTAGAACTTTGTATATTTGGGTGATTCTAATTTCTGTTTTCCTTTATAAGGATCATAAATTAAACTTTTGCTGTCATCATTATTACACATGTATTCTCAGTTCCAACACACCTGAAGTGTACCTATTGCTGTATAATACAGCTTCAAAAAGATTTTGGAATCTTATCTTTCCTCCTTCTACCATGTTATTATATATTAGTTTTCAATTTCCTTTTCAAGATTACTAAATTCCTTGATAATTGATTCAGTCACATTCTCATCACTGAGACCAAATACCTGACATCCACCGCTTAAGGGACGAGAAGCTTATTTTGGCTCACGGTTCATGAAGTTTCAGTTCATGGTCAACTGGTTGCAGGGCAGAGGCAGCATAGTGTACTGGGGCAGAATGAAGCTGTTCATGTGTTGGCAATCGAGCAGCAAAGAGAGGAAGGAGGAGGCAGAGAGGGTGATAAACCCTCTCAGTCCTCCCATGACCCCAGCTCCTAACTGCAAGTCAGCTATAAATCTCCATAATCCAATCCCCTTCCAGAAGCCCTGCCTATGAATGCATGAGGCTCTTTGAGAACATCTAGATATAACCATAACAATAATTGTATGCTGATTTATTTAGAGTTTTTCAATATTGAAATATTCAGTCCATTTGGAAACTGTTTTCATAGGAGATCAAGGAAGGAAATACGTTTTGAAATGATAAATGCCTATCACGTCACTCTAAGAGCATTTACTGAATAAATGAATACCAATTTAATTATATATTAAATTCTAATATAAATAAATAGATTTATTTCTAAATATATACCCATTTTTCCCCCATGAGCAGTAGCTTTTTATTATTTTTAACTATCTAGTAGAGCCAATGCCTCATCTTTATTCACCATTTCAGTTTGGGGGAGATTTTTATATTAACCTTCCATATTTTTCACTCCAATGAGCATACGAAGGATTTTGTCATGTTTCATACTTTGAAGAGCCTATTAAGGTTTTGACTGGCATTTTATTTAATTTACTGAATCTAGTTCTGAAAATTTCTTGTCTCGTTCAGTTGTATATTGTTATTGCATTTCATAAAAATTCATTACTTCTAATGTGTTTTCTGTCAAGTAATATGAGTTAAAATGGAAACAATAACATACTAAGATATGTGTCACATTAGTACAGAAACTAGGTGCAAGTGCTCTGTGCATGTGCTTTTCCTGTGCAGTCAGTTCATTCCAGGCACTTGATGTATTATATCTCATCACTTTCAGTAAATTTACGCTGAATTGGCAAAAACACTAAGAAGGTTTTCTTTTGAATATTGTGTGAATAGCCCCTGCCTTTATAGCAAATACAATTAATTGAAAAATTGACATTAATGAAATGATCAGTGCAGCAGTATAAAGTATAGTAAGCTGTGCTATGAAGAAAAAATACAGCATGCTGAGAAATAGGAGAGGATAATCTGTCTCAGCTGCGTTGTGGTAAAGGGTGAGGAGTTTGGGGAGGACTTGGGGAGAGGTGGCACTGAGCAAAGCTCTGGAAATCAGAACAGGAAAACTGGGTAGAAAGAGGATGTGTACGAACGGTCTGGAGGGAGATGAAAACCCAGTAAGTTTTGGGGAGTGGACAAAAAGCCTTCTGAGGGGAGCAAAGACTAAGGCATACAGTGGCCTAAGGAAGACAGAGGTGGTCAGGTCAGGCCAGAACCTTATAATTTGAAGACTGTTGTCTTCATATGAACAAATGGAGACCAATTTAATTGTATCTTTAATTTGAAGATATATATATATATATAAACTTTCTAGATATTTTAAGATAAATATATGTATTTGTGTGTGTGTTATGTGTGTCTCCCATGAGTGGGGTGGGGTAAGTGACCTGTAACATACTCAGAATTGTCTTTCAAATTGATAACTTGATCATCTGATTGATCAAAGTGATTGATCAAATTGACTGATGACTGATTGTCATAGGAAGAAGGAGTCAGAAGACAGAAAGCATAAACGCCTGCAAATCTGTTGGGAGGTTACTAAAAGAGCCCAAGTTATGTGGACTAGGACAGTGGCAATGAAAATGGAGGGAAAAGTATGGCCTGAGAAAATAATTAGGGACAAATTGAAAATACTTGTGATATCATGACCCTGGCATAGGGAGAGTGAGATAAGTGACAAGAATAGCTCTTGGTTTCTAGCATAAGTGGATGGCTATTGTCCAAGAGACAACAGGGAACAGACCCTTCTTTGAGATAGAAATATCAGGATCTGTTTTTGAACTTACAGAGCTGCACATATCTCTGAAAGTCGAAAGAAGATGTTGAGCTAAGCATTTAGATATCCATTTCTCAAGCTCCAAGGGTACGTGCATTTGCCACTGCTGACTTAAAGAAAACCATTACAGCCATGGGCGTGGATAAGGGCAGGTGATGAGAGATCACGGAGTACAAAGGGAAGAAAGCAAGACCGACCCTGTGCAACATCAACACTTAAAAAATTGGAGAAAATGATGCATTGGCAAAGCAGGTTGAAAAGAAATGTTGCTTTTGAATGAGCTGGTCATTTTGATCAAAAATCAGCTTGCTGGCATGCCCGGGGCTTTAAAGGTTTGGGCTTGTTGCTGTGGGATCATGGCTTTGTTTACATGTTGAAACTATGTTCCCACGTTGACTTTTTAAGTGTTAATGCATAGTCTTTCCTAGAATATGCAGAATTTCAAGGGAAAGATCTGTCCTGAGATATTCTTATTCATGGTGAGATGGGAATTCTGGGGGCAATGGTTGCGATCGTTGCTTTTTCCAGACTTTTCCTGCACTGTTTTTCTCACATATAATCAATTCTCTTGAGAAGTGATGCTTTCGTAACTTCCTTGAATTTCTTCTCAACTTGGAACACAATTGCTTTGACCCTGAACAAACTTTATCAGATTTTGTATTATGAGTTTGGAGTATTTTAGCATAGTAAATACTTTGTTATTTTTTCTTTTATGTCTTAATTTCTGTTACTTTGAGGGACATCTATTTGTCTTTTTAATAAGTTAACAAATTAGTGTTATGATCCTCCCCAGATGTAGATTATGTTTGATTAGGTAGATTCTGAGGTGCCTTTGGGACACTTGTAAGTAAGACCACTTACCTGATAAAATAATTAGATCCAGAACATAAGCAAGACATTTAAGGGCTTTGAGTTGGTTAGACAGGCTTTATTTATAGCATTTCTGAGCCTCAAATAAGAACTGATATTTCGGTAGTTATTAACTGTTTCCCAGAGTTTTGTGGGATTTTTTTGGTTTCATGTTTTGTTTTTGAGACACGGTATCCCTGTGTAGTCCAAGCTGGCCTTGAATTTGCAATCGTCCTGCTTCAGCCTCTCACATACTGGGATCACAGGCATGTGCCACGATGTCAGGCAAATTATTAGTCTTCTTACTTAATAGAATCACCACACATTTCTGGCTCACCCATCTGAAGTTATACAGCCTGTGTAGGTTGGACTTGAAAGAATGTCAACAAACTCAAGTATCTTTAGCTATATAAATACTGAAGTCAAAGACATATTGCTCAATAACAATGAATTTGTGAAAAATTTCATCTGAAATAGATATTGAATGTCAACTCTAAAAATATTTAAACTAAATTCATATGTGACAGTATTGATATATGTTTCACCATCAATTTGTTCAAACATAAAAAATTTGCCTTTTCCTTTGTATCGGTATGACTTCTCTGATATTTTTGAAGACCATGATAACTGTCACACTGCATTTATGGATAATAGCACAGATAGACTTTCATTTATAAGGCAGTATATATATATATATATATATATATATGTATATATATATATATATACATATATATATGTGATGAAAGGCATTTGTTGTATCTTTTAAACAAATGGCAAACAAAGAATACCAACAACACCTTACTTGTCACTGTTGTGAATGAAAGAGAGCTAATGTGTTCAAATGAATTCCAAAAAACAAAAAAAACACTGACATGATAAAAGCGTGCGTTTAATTTGATGCTTTGCAGAGATACATGACCAAAGTTGTGTGCATGGCTTGTTCCTTGGGCTGCCCCTTGTTTATTTTTAAATAAGAAATTAAAATAGAGCCAACAAATGCAATTAAGAAAAAAAAATCTCTTGAGACACCAGGGGACCTGCATGTCCTGGTCTAAGAAACATGAAAGAATTACAAAGCACAGCGGGTACAGTATGACAGCAGAGCACGCAAAGGCACTGGGACACCACTCTACCTTTCGGAAATGGGGAGTCTAACAGGTACGTCTTCACAAATGTCATTGATGAAACAGTCTTTATTTTTTAAAAAAGAATTGTAAAGAAAGAATTTTAGCACCATCATTAAAGGATATCATCATCATTATAATAATAATTTTTAGCCCTGCCTATCTCCAGTCTTGGAATAACAACAGAAGCATAGCACCTTTCAGTATCTAAAATATAAACAAGAAGAGTAAGTCCATCCCAGCTTCTAGAGATGAGGTAGCTCATGCTAAGAAATGTCGGGCCACTTTGTCTATGCAAGTTCAAAGGCCAAATGTTCTAGTCCCAGTCATCACATTCGATGAGAGACAACTCCACAAAACTGGGTTTCTATGACTTTTTCTTCCTTATAGGCTTCAGGGTGAGATTGTGCATGTGGAAGACTTTCAACTATGGGACCTGAAAATGTGTTCATAAAGACATATATGCAAATTATTTTGCTCAGTGTCTTCTTGCATAAGAAAATACAGATGGAATAAATGCTCTACCTATGCAATATCTCTCTGCATTGACAGAACGCATCAAAGGGGAAATGGTATTGTGAAAACTGAATAAGAAATGAGTCTAAACATATCAGTTTTTACAAAAATTTGAGAAGTTGAAGCAATTTCACTTTTTCTACCTGAAGGTCCATTGAATATATATTGTTTAAAAATTCCATTGAAGGCAGTGAAAAACTGTTATTTTTCTTTTAAATTAAAGATTCTCTGTAACAGTTATACAATATCCATATGTGGATGTGGGTTTCCATTACAAGGTTAAACATTTTTATTTTCATTGGTAATCTGGGAATCAGAGGTCACAAAAGAGCTCTACTTTCTAGTTTTAAAACCGCAGCCAAGCAAAATAAACATGCATTGTGGTTTTCTATACCCCACTCTTTAAGCTATCTGCCAGGAAGAAGAATTTCCTCATAAATACTAAGCATTGTTTTCATTGCATCGAAATAAATTGAAGAAAACAGATCTTTATTTATTTCATCAGTTTACTTTTTTTAAAAGGTGGTCACTGTCATTGGTTGCCTTAAACCTAAACTTTTGTATTGAAAAATATTTTAGGTCAATTAAAACTTGAGAATTGTCAGTAAAATAAATATTCTGAAGGGTAAGGAGGCCAGGCACTTAAGATCATATATACAGTGCTGATGTGGAATCAGCCATTACTTCAAGAGTCTCAGGATCAACTTCAAATAGTCAAAAGTTCTCATGAATGGCGATGGTCATCGTGAGAGTGTTGCACAGTGCTGGTCTTTCTGGGCTTGTGTTACATAAAGCACACTGGCCCAACTTCCACGCCAAATTCCTGGTCTGGGCTGCCAATATCCACAGGGGCAATATCTATGATGGGCAGGCGTGCCACGTTCTGTGTTCTGTACTCCAAGACAGTCTTGCCCACATTTCCATTTCGCTTCTGGAATTACATGATACAATGGATGAACAGTATATTCAAATTTTCCCAATGAGGCTAGACAGCAACTTACCCAGCTGATTTTTACAGTGTAAAGGCAACGAGCACTACTTCAAAATCAGAGCACTGGTGATACGAAGCAAAGCACTAGCACATAGAGCGGGTGCTCTTTTCTGAGCAAATTCACGGTTCAAATAGTCACAACCTAAATTATGAAAGAACTTTTTGTCCTATAAAAATGAAACTATAATTCACCATCCCATATTTGTCTTCTTTTATATCTGGATGTGCCATTTTAAAGACATACAACTCAATGATTGACTATACATTTTAGAATCATTTTAGAGTTTTATTCTAATTAAATACCTTAGAGAAGAACGAGAGAGAGCTGCAGACAAGCAGGATCCAGTCCTAGGGATCCAGTTCGCTCGTTCCTATGTTAGTATCTCTGACTCACTTCATGTGCTAATAAACATTCACATTTACCTGGAGAGCAACTACAAGCAAAATGTTGCCGTGTTTACACACAAGGTAGATTTGTCCCGAATTCTAGTGCCGTACCACTATCTTTAACAAGAACGGATTTCTTTTCTTCAAGCAGATCAACAATAGTTCAGAAAGTACTTACAGAGCAAGTGTCTTGAAGAACTATATATCTGAATCTAATGTTCCCGTCTCCCTTGATTGCCAAGTCATTTGCGCCTTTGAGAACCACGGCTTTCTTGACGCTCTTGGTTTCGTCATCCATGTATCCTACGCTGTTTTTACAGATGTAAGTAATGTTCTGAGATGCTTCTTTTGATAAAAGGCGCAAGAAGGTCATCTGTGTAATGGCAGTATTAGGTGACTGGTAGTCTCCGTAAGTGAACTAAAAGAAGAACAAAACACAGTCTTGGTTCCATGCAATCCTGAAGGATTTCACAATGCTTTAGTTGGATAAATTGATTGTAGACAAATCAACTTTGAGGTGCATTTCTTTAATTCTTGTCATATAATAAGCTACTTTGTCTATGTATATAAATTATATTAATATTTCTATACACATTTACATCTATCCTTATTATGTCAAACAAAACATGATAAAACCAATAATAATTATAATTTTCCAGAGAAAGGTTAAAAATTTTTAAATCTGTCTTAATCACATATAAAAATAACTCATTAGTTTTACAACTAATTGTACTAAGAATTGAACATTAGCTGTTAGAATAAAATTCTATACTTGCCAGAAATACAAATTAAAATTTGTCCACTTGGCAAACTCAAAATTATCAAAAATAATTTCCCATAGGCTCTTTCTATTCATTTCATAATTTATGCTTTATTTCCAGTGCTTATATTTGAGTTTTACATAATATATCAAATTACATTTCAATTGCTTAAATTTACATTTTTTAATTTCCTGTTCATTAAACAATGGTAGATTCTGGCATATCTTGCACACACCCACAGGGCTCTCACATCATGTTTATTCTGAGTGAGTTCTGTGAAAGGTTAACAGCAGAGGTCAGAAGAAAATTTTAGAGTTAGGCTGGCACAGTGAGATCTGGGATAACATTTTCACAGTACAACAGGAAGCAGCAAAGCCTGATGAGACTTGGAGTATTGGACCATGTAAGAAATACAGAGTATATCGAAACTCTGAGAATATTAATAAAGTCTATATAATTACAACATGCCTTAAGTTTAATACTGCAAAGTTCACAAAATGATTTCAGTATTAAAATGATATGATACTTATCACTTGTTGTGTACTAGATACTACACTAAGCACTTAGATTCACACAGAGACTATGGGGTCCGTACTACACTCTCACTGTAAGCCAATAACACTAAGGCTTCAAAAGGTTCGATCACTTCAGGAAGCCCAACACCAGTAAGAGCTCCAGCTAAGTGTCACCAAGGTCCCCTGAAGCTAAAAATAGCAACTGTCTTTCAACTGAGGCAAGACCACTTCACAGTCAGTGACAAATACATTAGAGGAATTCATATTAAAAATAATTACTTCTCTACATTCCAGCAGATGAAACAAATCATAATTCAAATTTCATTTCAATTTATCTCATGGTAAGACTTTTTATGCACAGATATTGCAGTTGTTACTGAGAATATATCACTTAAAACTAATCATGGCAAAAAATAATAGCATATCACACTTCTCAACAAACACAAGGAGATGATAAACAATGAAAGCAAAGACTACAGCTGAGTAAGCATATTAATTACCTGAGATCCTCTGTTCATGTCAAGGCCATACCATACGGGCTTATTGTCAGGAGATCTGCTGGCCCACCAAGTTTTAAGGGGGATAGTGGATGGGTTTGCTGAAATACATGTTTCCCCTGTTTCCATATTGCAGTAAACTTTGATTGCATCTTCAGCTGATCCCTGGTTAGGATCAATCCAGTATTCACCTATTTACCAAAATAGAAGTGTTTGCTAAGTGAAGAGAATCTCAAAGATGTTCTTGAAGCTCCAGATTAATTAACTCAGGCTTTGAAAATATAAACTCATTGATTAAAGACACATGGGTGGAGTCTTTCTTTATGCTCAGCATGGTTCTAAGTCACTGTGTCAAGCAATGTATGTAAGGCTCAAAACATCTATATGAAAAATATTATTATCCCTCATTTTATTGGAAAAAATATCAAAAACAGATAACCACAGTGTGTGGTTTTGCCAAGATAGATGTGTTCCTATTACTATCTAAAATCAATGTTTGAAAAAGTTAGAATGTAGTAATATATTATCAAAACTAAGAGTAAAGTAAGTATACCTAAATTACATTTAGCATACTACACATAAAATCATCAGTCCCTTTTCAAAATAAATCTTCATACATAAAGGAGATTTTTGAGATATATACCACAACAGTGTGTGGTATATATCTCAAAATACGGTACTAAATACAGTAAAATAAATACATAAAAATATAGATTTATGTATATATATATTTATGAAAACAGGAGTTGCAAGTAAAATAAAACAAGAGGGAGAGGATGGAAAGTATAGAGTTGAGAATAACATTGCCCATTCTACAAAAGAAACATTTTCACTATTCTTGTCAATGGTCTTTCCAAAGTTAATTGAGATGCTTAAACATTTCACAGCTCATTCTTATGGTCAAGGATATCTGTTCTCCAGTTGCTATGAGAACAATCAAGATGATTGTTCATCTTTAGGCATGCTTATGCAACCAGAACAGAACCATTATTCCATGCTAAACTGTAACGGAGTCCTGCTGGCACAGGTTCCAACAGTGTGATTCTTGGAACATTAAGTTATGTGAAAGGAATTCCACATTCAAACAACTTTGGGAAATAATATGTGCTTTCTTGTTCTCTCAGCCAACAATTTATATTAGCACATTAAAATTGAGAGGTAAATAGATAGGTTTAAGTAGATATAGACAGATTAGATATAAATATATAGATATAGCTATAGGTACAGATACAGATATAGATATAGATTCAGACAAAGATATAGATAGATATATTGCTTCTACTCCACAAAAATTGCCACTAATTTAAATTTAGGAGTTCCAAATGGAAATGGAAGTACTACCATCAAAATAGACTATCAGTGGTGTATATCCCCTGTTACAGCACATGCCATCCTGCTCGGTAATGTTTACATAACTGTCTCCACCAATAAACTAGAAGCTCTGTGGCATGCTTACCATTCCATCTCTTACATCACTTACTAATTAAAGAACCGATGAAACACTTTGGCGTGCTGTGAGCACAACACCAGGAGAAAGGCGCTCCGCCTGGCCACCTGCACTCACCGCTCTGCTTGGCGGAGTGGCAAAGCTTCAAGTCATCGCAAGTCCGGGCGGGGTGCTTCCTGGAGCCATCAGGGCTGCGCATGGTTTCGATCTGACTGCTGAGCGACTTCAGGGTGGCGTGCACCCCTGGGTCAGTTTTGTTTTTGTCATCAGGAGCAGCCTGATCTTCAGTAAACTCTGGAAGTGGATCTGGCATGCTCTCATCGTAGTGCCCCATGATATCCCCAAGAGCAGCTGTAAGGTGTCCAGGGGGACCCGGAGGGCCAGGTGGGCCAGGCTCGCCAGGAGGACCCTAGTTAAGAAATGGGAATGATATTTCACACACTGCTTTTAGTTTTGTTTTCCCAAACTGGTGAGATGCAGTACAGAGGGAATTTACAATGGGACACTCCAATTCGATGGTCCTGAGGGACCAGTGGCCTATGCCCTCTTGCAGACAGACAGAGCTGCTACCAAGCTGTCTCCCACCAGAGGGAAGAAGTGCTGCCTGTCTCTCAGTCTACGTATTTGCTTGTCAGAATCTAAGATAAATAAAGGTCAATCACATAATACTTGCTTTATAGCGATCTGTAGATAAACAGATATACGGCTATAGAGATACCCAGATGGATTGCTATACAGATGTACAGCTATATGGCTATGTGGATATATAGCTATATAGAAATACGAATATGTGGATATACAGATGCAGATTATTTTTATCCAAGGTCATCGTGATTCAATGCATTCCAATCTCAAGGGGAAAGAATTTTTTTTTATATCAAAGACCTCTGAACCACAAAAATAAAGTTAATCCAAAGCCACGTAAGTCAAAGGTACTCTAATTCAAAATTTGTTCTCTGTTCATAGAGAAAAGGAAGCATTCTTTCTGACCAAATGACATGTAAGCCTATTGGACCCACATGGAAAAAAATGAATTTCTTATCTCATGGTATCGTAAAGATAAAATAAGGAGGATAAGGTAAATAAGAACAAAGAAACACCAAAGAAGGAAGCGTAAGTCCCCAGTGAACACATGCGTATTAGCATGCGGGCACATGGATGGTACATGATGCTTTTCAAATTTCTACCCCCAAGTTCAAGTTATTAGAATTTTTAATAAAAAGCTTTCAGTGAAATCTCCTGAGAGTCATTTTCAGTAAAAAAAAACTTCAATATTGTATAGTTCATTTGCCAACATTTTCGTACAGTTTTTATGAATAGCTACATCTGACAGATTATTTAGAACAGCATCCAAAAAAGCAACTTATGCAGGTTCAGTCTTGTGTGAATTCTAGGTTTGTTTTCAGGGTCCCTTAAGTCTCTTGTCCACCTGGCCTCACAGACATCATTGGCTGGAATCCCCCCTACTCACACGGACAGCATTTCCTGCACGCAGACCCTGTGACTTTACCTCTGGGCCTGCTTCTCCTCCGCTGCCACGCACACCGGGAGGCCCAATCGGCCCAAGCGGACCAGGGTTTCCTTCTTTGCCTGATGGACCAACTGGGCCTGGAGGACCCTGAAAGAAAACAAAGGCTGTATTTTAGATTCTGTGAAGAAAGAAGTGTGGAATGCTTCTCTCTAATCAAAGAACGATTGTACAAGTGGAGCTATGACAAGGATTTCTATTTCTGATTCGTTTTCTTGATGACTAATACATGACCTTCCATCACTTTGTCACATTGTAATTTCATCATACATGAACTGTCCCTGATCCATGACAGGAGACCAGTACAACTTAATGACTTTAATAGACTAATCACTTTTATTACTTTTGTAATAATTCTTCTAATCAATCTCCAGTAAGCTGAGTTGGAAATTCAATGAATTAGAATACAGAAATGACATAAGATACAGTGCTTATTATAAGTAAATTGTGGGTTCTTATACTATAGAATTTCATCCTTTCATACTCATCTTCATTACGACTGTTCTCAATTTAATGTATGGTTTCCTTAGTCTGTATTTATACATAGCAGAACTTTTTCTAATTGATTTTTCTCTTTTTTCTGGAATTTCTTTTCTATTTTCCTAAATAGTTACATGTATCAACTTCTTATGACATGGATGACATATTAGAGACAGCACTGATATAAATGTAGAATTTCTAAAAGCCTCAAAAATTGCCTTCACCTGGAGATTTGCTTCCAAATTATCCTGATAGAAATTATTCTGAGAAATTATCACAATTACTTAAAAGGACAAAATATATCCAGTTTCACAATCTGTCTCCACTTCATGAGTAGATCGAATTATAACATAAATGAGTAAAAATGTAATGGAAATTTCAATTAACCCAAAGTGAGAAAATGAATAGGTAAATATATACAAACTCTAGGTGAGAGACTTTAATGTGGGCCTATATTTCAAGAACTTAAAATTACTTGCTGAATGGTTTGTCTCATATTTGCTGCCTAATTCAGAGAACATGAGCCAAGTGCAGCTTCAATACCGCACACGTGATACTCGTACATTAGCCTTATGTCACCAAGGGAATTACTATTTATATCTGTGATGTTAATTTTTATCTCTATCTTTTTTTTTTTTTTTTTTTTTTTTTTTTTTTTTTTTTTTTTTTTTTTTTTTTTTTTTTTTTTTGGTGTCGAGAATCAAACTCAGGAGCTTGTGCTTCCCAGTCACTCACTGTGTCACTGAGGTATACCCCCAGCCCTGTAGCATTAATCTTTTTTACTTACTCTTGGACCAAATGGACCAGGAATTCCGGGACTGCCTTGTTCACCATTTGGACCCTAAGGAGGAATAAAACTTAAACGTTACTAAAATATTTAGTTTTTGTAACGGGCCACCTTCAAGTACTTAAAATACGCTGGCATTGACTTTAGCATCATAAACTACCAAGTCATCAGTCCCTGCAGTCTCATGGGTTGGCCAAAGTCACTGCAGGAATAAGGATGCACAATGCTTTATGCTTTTATTTCTTCCCCATAAAACTACAACCTATATAAGGGCAATTATGTTTGGTAACTGGGTAATTAGTACTTTTGAAATTAAAATAAAATACAAAAACACCCACCTATTGTATTTACAGAAACGTGTTCTTGTAAAGATACCTGTGCATGTTCGCATGCAGAGAAGGCGCTTAGAGAGACAACTTACAGGGGGCCCGGGAAGACCCTGGAGACCGGTGAAGCCTCTGTGACCCTTCTGACCGCGGTCACCTCTGTCTCCATTGTCACCTTTGTCACCTCGAGGTCCTTGAGGTCCCTAGAAGCAAAGCCAAGGCACAAATATTCTTACTTCTTATTTTCTTACATTAAAATATAGCACAATTTAACTCTTTACAACAATAATTTTGAATGCTGTATTGTATGGATGAACACATTTACTTATATAAATACCTTTAGGTAAATAAATATCTAGGAATTTTTGTCTATTTTTCCCAAGGAACAGTAGATGAGCGACGAATGTTTCTCTTACATTTACACTAAAAAGAAGTGTTTTTGAGTTTGACGTAACCTATCGGAAAGGTATTTAAAAATTATATTTGACGTATTTGGTTGATATAGTTATATAAAAGCATTATCCTCATAAATAGATTCTTTGAAATTAAAACAGAAAAGTACTTTTATGAACTTGTTCTGCTTCCTCTAAGGATGAAACATTTATTAAATTTGTAAATGCAGATGAACGAGCTGGATATGACAGTTGGGATTATATTAAGAACTAGGCAAGAATTCAAGCAAATGAAGCCGGAATATTATTACTACTGTCATCCAAAGGAGAAGCAAAGGAGCCCTTTGTGTCCCTCATCAGGTCTGCCATATCTGCGCACAAGCACAGAGACACTGGCCCCCAGACTCTACAGAAAAAGCCATGAGGAGGAATTTTCCTTTGGAATAGAAACTCAGGCAGAAGAGAGGTGAAGATCAGCTGTTCAATCTCAGGAGTGTTTCACTGATGTTTGTTTACACTTTGTGATTTGTCTTAGGTCCTAGAGAATTAAAATAGCTTCCGAGGTGCAGCGGTTCACAGTAAATTCATAAGTGGCATAGGGTTACCTACCATAGGGGCAGCTCCTGTTGTCTTTAGAGCTCACCTCCAAGAAATTTGGAAGCCTATTAATCTAACTTTGGAAGACAGTTACAATCCAATCCACTGGCTCTCGGGTTAAGGTTTTCCCTTTTTGGTGTTGGATTACTTATTTGTTTTCAAAATTTAGTTTTCTTTGTTGGTAGACATTGTAGAATCTTTGTAATAATAAAAATAAAACTAAACTTTGGTAACCTTTTTCTTAATTATTTTTTTTTTTTTTTAGTCAGGGTCTCATTATGTAGTCCAGGCTGACCTGGAACTCACTATGTAGCCCAGGGCTGGCCTGGAACTCAGGTGATCCTCCTGCCTCAGCCTCCCAAGTGTTGGGATGACAGTCATGCACCACCACACCTGGCTTGCCTTTACATATTTTGACATAAATTTAAATGTCAAAATCAGCTTGAATATTTTCATATTTTAAAGGTTCATTTATTTTGAAGATGTCCCCAAAATTCACAATTAAAAATAAACTAAACCAGAAAACATCTATTAAGATCATTAGCTATAATTCACTTATTAATAAAGAAAACTACATTGTTTCTATAACTGGTTAGAAAATCTTTCACTTAACATGCTATGCAACTCAGAAATCATTGCCAGTCATGCTCAAATCAAAGTAGAAAATAATGATTTAATAATACGACCATGTTTTTAAGAATATAATTGTTCTTCAAGAACATAGATAGACATCAATTTACAGATGTGAGAAATATGATCTACTGGATTTCCCACTAGGGATAAACATAAAATACTAATGCACATGTATAGTAACGATTAATCTGGAAGTGACTGCTAAGAGGCAAAAAGAACCAAAGATTAGGCAAAGAAAGTCTAGTTAAAAATAAAACCTAAGATTTGCATCATTCTTTTGTAATTTGTAGGAAAGCTCTGAGAGAAATGCACTGTTATCCTCATTATTTTGGAAGAGGAATGTGGCTCTAAAAGTCTTCATTAATAAGGTAATATATGACATTTTGATATATGTATATATTTTAAAATGATTAAATTAGATCAGATGTATCTATCATCTCACTTATTTATTATTTTCTTGTGGTGATAATTATCAAAAGCCATTTTTCTGGCTTTTTGAAATGTATAGTTTATTACTGTTATCTACAGTGTACCAGAACTTCTTGCTTCTAAATATAATTTAGTACCCATTGATTATCTTTGCCCCATTCCCCCATGTCTAAACCTTAAGTCCTACTTCTTCTTTGCAAGTATATTTTATGTAAGAAAACACGTATTTGTTAAGAAATAAAACAACTTACTGGTAAACCTCGTTTTCCAGCTTGGCCAGGTGGTCCTATAGGACCTCGAGAACCCTAGAAGAGAAGGTTCATATAAGTTGCCATGGATAAAAGGATATGCATATACTACATAGATACAGAATGTCAGAAAATACATGCCTGAAGTTGAATGCTTGTGTGCATGTGTGTGTATGTGTTGTGTATGGGTTGTTCTTGTCTCTATGTATATTCTTATAACTAATTCATTGAAATATGGTAAATAGCTATATATAGGTAAGAATGTGATAGTACAAATAATTTTAGAGTCAGTCTTACTTATTGGCTTCACTGAATGAAGATGACCTTTGTTGATGATAAAGAGACACTGTTTAATTTAATGTATATTTATTACATTTCTTCTAAATCACCGCATTTTTACATAGTGAAAATCAGTACATTAGGATCTTTAAATGCACATTCAAAACCAAATATTTTTAAAGATTAATATATGTATCAGTTTATCTTTGGCTGTTTATCATTCTTTGTTTAGAGTCTTTAACCAAGGCATATGCGTAATTGTGTGCACGTATGCAGGCAACTGATAACGCAATGTGCCAGTGCCTATAACCGACTCCCTTCTTACCGGATCTCCTCTTTGTCCCGCATCTCCTGGCGCACCCACAGGGCCAGGAGTCCCAGGGGCACCAGAAGAGCCTGGAAGACCTGCAGGCCCAGGGTCTCCTCGATCACCCTGATGAGAATAGCCATGATATTATTCTTTCAACATTTAATCTAAAGCAAACACATCCTTTATGTTCACAGTATTCATAAGATGAAAAGTATGCCTTCTAAAATTATTTTATGCATGACTTTACAAAATTTACCTAAATTTATTAATTAATCAAATGGAAGAACATAAGACTCTTTCTCCCAAGTATCAGGCCTCTTCCCTCCCCTTCCTCCACCTTGTTGCACCCAGAGCCAAGGTTATTGGGGTGCAGGAAGGTCACCTGCAGACCTAAGCATCTTTCTCCAACCAGACGTCATCAAACTGCGTGTCTGTGTGCTTGGAATACACAGTCTTTCCAAAGTATGTGAAAACACAGAGATTTTTGAGGAAACTGAATTCCAGGTTTTCAACTCTGTATGTGTTCTTTCAGAAACTAATCTTGGAGCAGTCTTTCCCCACTTCCCCTTTATTAGTCTTTCTTCTCTCATTTTGTGAAAAAAAAAAAAAATAGGCCATATCAAGCAATCTTACCAAGGTAAATACTTCTAAGCACTAAGGAGTAAATACTTTTAGGCACTGAAATAAAGAATATTTCCTGAATGCCCTTGGGATAATCCTAAGAGAAACCTAGAAAGGAAAAGGCTACTCCTGAGGTCTTTAACCTCATGAGACAACTGTGACAAGGCTCCAAATATTACCTTCTTAAGAAGTCAGAGGTGAGAAAATTGTGATATCAACAATTATGTTGTGAATATAATTACTGATTTGAAAAATAGTGCCAGACTTTATTTTCTGACAAAAACTGAGTTTTATTTGACTGATTAATTTGGTAACCAGGATGAGCTTTGGCAATTAGGTTAAAGAATAGACACATAAAAAAATTGGAGAAGCTAAGCTGGCCACTCCCAGATTTTTTAAGCAAATACATTTAAAGCACACGAGTTTACTAAGAACCACTTCCACTGCAGTTATATATTTGCACTTACAATTTTTAAAAAATGGGACAACATAATGTGTGGATAAAATTCATAGATTTTCCAAAGTACTTTAGCAAGTAGGTTAGCAAAATCTTTGAAAACTACTGCCCTATATAGTATCTACATAAAGGGGGGGAAATCCCAATGCCAAGAGACTTTGCAGACCCTGAAGTTACAATAGGTGCAAGATGTCATAATCCAAGGCTCCCCCAAATTCCTTCCTTTCTTTCCACCCCAAGGGTGTTCTTGAGTGTCTATCCATGATTAGGTTTTAAAGCATGTTATTTAACATACAAATACCCAATGGCTTAGGTACTAATCATACTTCAATTATTTAAAGAACAGGTTCACAAAATGTACTGAAGATCACATAAGCAGTTACTAAAGGAATCAGTGTGCCAGCTCAGGTCTGTCTGGCTCACAGTCCATCCTGCAGTGCAGAGACCTGGGAGTGGAGAAGCGATTATTCCACCATGGCAGACTGTGGAAGAAGAAATGGTGTCTGCCTTCCTCAGCTTAGTGCTGTGTCTAAGTTTTAATTTTTAGTACAGCTGCCAAAGCGACTGAATCTCAGACAAAGCTGGGGAGATTTTCAGTTCAACATAGATCTAATTTCAAAATACTTCATGGAATATATAATGTTAAAAAACCATATGGCTCCTATCCTTATTCATTTTAAAGGGGAAGTAGAGAAATTTAGGGGTCACATTAGTTTTGGCTCTATTTCCGCCATATATATACATTATACTTTTTAAAAGTGAGTTTGGGGTTCACCAAATGTATCCTTACCCAAAGCCTGTGTATTGCACCAAGCATGACAGCAATTTGCTGCCCTGATCTTAATTTTAAAATTACCATGTTACTTTGGTTATGCATTCAAATGTCATGTCACTTACAAGATTTTGCAAAATTATGACCTTACAGAAAAGTTCATTACTATCAGAAAAATCAGAACTGCGCTAGAGCTAGAGAATGAAATCTAGTTTTTAGTGTAATACTAAAATACAAGTATTGCCGGTTTATATGCATCTAGATTTTTAAAATAGAGACATGGTTCTTACCCGTTCCCCAACTGCACCATCCCGTCCTGGAGTGCCGTCGTTCCCAGCGGGACCCTACAAAGAATAAAGTTGGAAAAATGGATTTACTGGTAATGAAAAAAATCACATTCCCTTTGTCAGAAAGGTGTCAGCACAAATTATCACTTACATAAATCTCAGTTGGAAAAAAGCTGACATTCTGTTATTTTGAATGGCTTATAAAACTAACATGTTCTACATTGTTCACTTCAGCCTCTTATTTTGAAAAAAGAAAGTATCCTCAAATACCTTGAAATAAATAGACAACAGCTACACTCTTGCTAATTTTTTGCACTACAAGTAAATGCATTTTTTGACTTTTATTTCTTGAGTTTATGCAAATAATGTTTTGAAATCGTATAATATTAAATTACTTCTTTAAATGTAGTCCTCTCTCCATATTTTGATTACTTCAGAACCATGTTTTTATTATTGATAAGAAGCAGTTCTGAAAGTCACCACTTATTTCTTTCAAGAAAATATGAGTGCTGGGTGATATACACACTGGAGCTGTAAAAAAGGTAGTCTGACCTTTAACTTCTCAAGCTGCCTGTCAAAAACCAATTTCCTCTCAAAGACCCTAAAGGAACATGACATTCATAATGTGACTTCATAGTGAAATTTAGGTAAAATGATCTCTTCTTGCTTTGCCCTTTTTATAAGACATAATAGTTACATTAATCCTTCCACCATGAAACTTGGCAATGTTGATAAATGCCCCATCAGAGAATGAAATAATAACAAGGGAGATGAATGGAAGTGTCATTTCACCTTCAAAACAATTCTGGAAAACCAAAGTCAACTGAAAGACTCAGCTCCAGACTAGACAAAGGTCAGTGCAAAGACACCGATTTTCTTTCCTTTTCTCTATTCTGTTATTTAGCCACCTCTCTAGGGAAGTAGAGCACATCAAAGAACAACACTAAAAAAAATCCCAAGGTCATATATGTAATCAATTCATAAATTTCTAAATCAATTTCTGAATGAAAGAATTGTTCCCACAGTCCCCAGATAACAAAGAGAGTTACAGTTACTCATGGCAGCACTCACTTCCGGTCCAGGTTCCCCCACAGGCCCATTGGAGCCTGGGGGACCCACAGGTCCAGGGGGACCTTTGTCTCCTGTTGCACCAGTTGGTCCTACTTTTCCTGGTGTGCCCTGAAATTGAAGTAGAAATATATCAACCACTTCTGCAGAAATGTAAGAATGCCTTTTGCCATAAAGGCTACATGCACTCCAATGGTACCTAAGTCCTTTCTTCTGCGGCAATAATGGTTCATCGTCTTCTAATAGCCATGTCACTGTGATGCCTGTCTAGAGGTATGGCCACTTCTTGTCACATTCCCCTTAACACATCAAAGGCCCAAGAGCATCTTTTGCACCATGTATGTGTACAACCATTTGGTATTGGTGCGAATCACATACAGTCAGTTCCAGCTGCTCCTTTGGACTCTGCATCACTGCTAAGATACACTCATTTTTTCTTACTCTTGCTTTGCCTGCTCCTCCTATTTCTGTATTCTAGTACTGCAGGCTCACTATTGAGGGATTTTAAGTTTCGATTTTTAGTTGAATTCTGACAGCAGTAAGATATCCTTGTAACTCCTAATGATCTGGTTTCTGATTTTTATCCACAAGTCTCTCCTCTCAGTCCTGAGATTTCCAGAGTGCATCTCTCTGTTGACATTTCATATAAAAACATCATTACTTTTTTTCCTCAAGCACTGTAAATGATTGATGATAAAAATTTAGTCTGTTCAAAGCTAACATTGAATCAAATTTTCATCTGTATTCCAAAGATCATGAGATTCTCCAGGACACCCCCAGGGAACAGGAGATTACCTACAAAGTCCTTTACCGTTCACCCCACAGTCACCTCTAATATTACTGTGTCTCAACTACTTCTTGGCTTTGATGGTTTGCTGTGAAATATGGTTGTTTTTGTTAAGCATGTTTATTTTAAAAGACACTGCCTCCTCACCAGGAGATTAGCTTCCCTCTCTAGCTCCATGGATCTCCTTAGTCTTTGAAGAAAGATTTAAGAATCACCAAAAGTTTATTTGCCTACTTCTCGAGCCCTAGGGTTAAACAAATACATTGTTTTTCAAAGATTTAACAAGGTAGTTCAAGATTTGATATTTAAGATCAAAAAGTTTTTAAGGGATTCAGATTTTATGTCAGCTCAAGACCGCTTACCTTTATCTATCATGCAAAAATCAATTATCTCTTTACAAATTATACTGTACAAGTCAGACGAAATATTGACCAGAGCAGCCACTTACCGCTGGGCCTGGCAGGCCGGGCATGCCTCGCTCACCACGCTGTCCAGGCATGCCAACAATCCCTCTTTGCCCAGTGGTTCCAGCTGGACCAGGGGGACCATCTGGACCCTAATGTTGATAATAAACTATAATTAAAAATTCTGCAGAGGAAAATTGTATCCAAGCAAAATTATTTTAGGGTGATTCCAGCTGGACAAGATTTTTGGCATGAAAAAAGTTACTTGTTTCACAAAACCCTGTTCTATAGGAGCAGTCATAAATTATAATCTACATGGAGCTTCTAAAGTTATGTAAAGGTAAAAACAGCTCATGAGTCTGAAAGGAACTTGAAGAATAATGTGAATACTGACTGAACAAAGAGGTAGCTTTGCAAAGAAATCAGTTTCTTCCTTTTAAAAAATGAGATAAGCGTGCACAGCTGTAATCCTAGTACCTGGGAGGCTGAGGCAGGTATATGTGAAGTTTGATGCCAGCCTGGGCTACATATGAGACTGTCTCAAACTCAAATCCCCCCAAAAAAAGATAGAATTTCAAATGAAGAAAATAAATATCATCCATCTAAATACATTAATATTTGAAGCATTAGCTTAATATTCAAACATAAAAAATATTTAAATTTTTGTATATAGACATTTAACAAGGAATTTACTTGGTTTAGTTTTTGGAAACTATATCCGTTCCTGTTTTTTTAAAAATATTTATTCATATATTTTTTCTAGTGCAGAGATGTTTAAATAAAAAGTCTATAGAACATACTGTACATCAAGGATTCAGAAATGAGCCCAGAATAATATTTGAACAGTTTCTTTGTGGTGGTGATTATTAGGTGTTACAAGTTGCACATAACTGCAGATGGTCTATAACTAAGATGCCAGACTTACAGGTTGTCCATCTTCTCCTGGGTCTCCTTTGTCTCCTGGGCCACCAGGGGGGCCAGCTGGTCCTCGATCTCCCACTCGCCCATGAGAGCCAGGGTCCCCACGAAGACCTGGAGGTCCCTCCTTCCCAGGCTCCCCTATGGGCCCAGCAGGTCCTGGAGCTCCCTAGTATAACACAGAAAGAAATACCCAGACGGGCAAAGCAGAAGCCAATTGAGAAAGATCAACTCAGTGGGCTCTGCCTCAGATGCAGGTTGCCAAGTCTTTCAGGTTCATTTTTCCTGAAAGATAATCAGTCATTGAATATATTTAAACAAAAGAAACCACAGCTGCAGATTCATTCCCCAGGAGACAATTTAAACATCATCTGCAGACAACCCTTTGAGTCATTATGAAAAGAGTTGGGAAATTAATTCGAATTTTCAAATTTATTTAAGACTCTGTTCCAGCTCTCAGAGGATAATATTTTATTCTGTGTGACCTAATCTCATACTAAAAGAATGACAGTTATTAAAGAATGTTTCAGAGATGCTTCCTAGCTGAAGACAATGATTATTAGTATTAGTATCAAAGCTACTAGTAGTAGTATTTAGTACCGAATAGAATAATCAGCAAACAGCAAGGGTAAACAGGACCTGCAAATAATTTCCTCAAAAATATACTGGATGATCAAATTTTCTTTGATGAAATACTGGTATGTATTATTGTAATAAAAACCATAGAACCGGAAAACAAGCCATAAGAGGTTAAATAAAAATAATAAATGATATCTCTGTGTGTGTGTGTGTGTGTGTGTGTGTGTATGTGTGTGTGTGTGAATGAGATTTACTCCATTACTGATGAGTTAAATCACTAAGTTCACTTACAGCAGGGCCGGGAGGTCCAACTCGACCAGCAGAACCAGGAAATCCAGTAGCACCCTAGGAATATAATACCATAGAAGCAATTTTAAATAATATTAATGATTATATGTATTTTACAGATATCTATCAATCCCCCCCACCACAGGAAGATTTAAGAGGATAGATTCCCCTCTACACCGTAGCCATATAGTTCTCTCCTTATGCATCCTGTGATTTTGAGAAAGAATCCAGATGAATTAGTGGGAAGGGCTCTATTTTTCCACTTTTCATTTATCTTGAACATAATCAAGTAGGGTTAATATTACACAAATAATTAATATAACAAATTATATAAAATACTTTCACATTATTCATGTATTATTTTACAGAGGTGGCATATTATTTATGTCATATACAAAGTATCTGGCTCTTTAAGACTACATAACTGATTTTTTGTTTGTTGTTTCTTTGTTTTCAGGTACCAGAAATCGAAGTCAGGATCTCGTGCTTGCCAGGCAGGCGCTGTGCCACTGAGCTAAATCCCCAGCCCCTTACAAAACTGATTTTAACCCAGACCTCCATCTAAATTAGGTATATTTTGTTCTGCAATATAATGGAGATTTTATATATATATATTCATTTTATGTATATATATTCATTATATATATACACATTCATTATTACAGCTTTAGACAAAGATAAACTTTTACATGGCTAGGAAGTCCTAACCATCTGAAACTAGCCACACATAATACCCAGAATGTCAAACCTACTTACAGGTGGGCCTTGGGTTCCTCGACCACCTTTTAATCCAGGAACACCCATAGGACCCTAAATAGAAAAAATGAAAAAGAAACACTATAGTAAAGCAAAACAGGTGGAACATACACCCCAACCTGGGCACTGGACAAGCCACCCTTTTCTTTCTTTTAACTTACATGAGGACCAGGGGACCCTGCTAGTCCTTGTGGTCCAGGAGACCCAGTGTCCCCCTTCTGTCCCGGCTCTCCAGGCTCACCCTTTACTCCAGGCTGTCCATCAGGACCCTGTATACAGTGGTACAAATGACCATTCATTGAGTCTTACACATAAACTATCTCACAGTAATTATTTTAAATCGTTTGGCCATACAATGTCAAATGAGGCTTTGTAATCAGCATTAAAGTATACTGGAAGAAAACAAAACTTGATGAGATCTTTGAAGACCATTTGAAAAATGTAAGGTATTCCAACATATTTTTATCATGCAAATAACTACATCATCTCAAATATTGCAAACTCATCAATTCCAATGCCAATCTATGAAAAAATGTACAAAGATGAGAATAATGCCTAGAAAACTGTGAAGTTTCCAGAATCTTCAAACACTTTCAAAACATATTGCAGTGATACTTAAACTCATTGCTATCACAAGAAGCATGCACATTTTTAAATTAGGGAGATTTGAAAATTATACCTGGGGTCCAGCAAAACCAACAGCCCCAGTTGGGCCATTTTCACCACGAGAACCCTGAGAGAAGACAAAAATTAATGAAGATTTAGCATGTTATTCTAAACAAGAACAATATATTAAAATAGAGTTGTGTAAATTTGATATCACTGGAAATGTATATGTAAAAAGAAATCAGACACATCGCTTGAGGAAGATCCCTAAACGTGATAAAAAGATGTAGGTCATAAAACTTCAGCATCAGACATCTCAAAGCAACTTCTTAATTACATTGTAAATAAGCTGCTTACCTACACTTCATAAACTATGTAGTTGATAATTTTTTAAAATTTACTTGGAAAGGCAAAACTTGAAAACAAAGAAGTTATTAATAGCCTAAACCAGTGATGGCGAGCCTTTTAGTTTTCAAGGATATGAACAGTCCTCTGTGGCACGTGCCATAGGTTTGCCACCACTGGGCTAAACCAATAGGCATGGAAATTAGATAGAAGGAAAGGGAAGGGAAGGGAAGGGAAGGGAAGGGAAGGGAAGGGAAGGAAGGGAAGGGAATGGGAAAAGAGGGGAGGGGAGGGGAAGGCAAGGCAAGAGAGGGAAGGGAATGAAGAAAGAGAGGAAGAAAGATAATAGATAAATAGATAGAAAAATGATAGATGATAGATAGACCAATAAACAAAATGATGAATTATTTTATTACTCAGTCTCACACTACAGAACATCAAAATATTGTGTCACTTACAGGATTACCACGGGAGCCAGGAGGACCAACTAAACCTCGAGGACCAGGTTCACCCTACAAAGAGAATTTTGATAGTTATTCACCCAAAACATAATGTAATTATAGGCCAGTAGGGACCAGGTAGAGACAATAGTTGATAAGAACCCTAAGACGATCTATCTCAGGTACCACATGTTAAGAAAGACAAAATGACAAAACTTAGCATAAAAACCAAAATTGAGGCCCTATGATTTTGATTTCACAAAATAACAACTTGTGACTTACCTTTTCTCCAGTGGGACCGGCAGGACCTGGAGGGCCCAAGGGACCAGGAAGACCCTATCAATTAACAGAAGATGGTCATGTGAAGGAGAATAATCTACAGGCATGTCCAAGTAAGAGCAAACAAACAAAACCAGAGAGACTATTTTATTAGAGCTTGCCTATTTTGGCAAATCATAATTTCCAATAAATGACATAATTCATATATTTTCAAGGTTTTACTCTCTAATTCTAAACTGTTTTATTAGATTGTCTCTGCAAATATTTTAACCTCTTCCATCCAACTGAATTCCTACTTTCAGAAAACTGTCTTCAAACATTAGTGCTAAATTGATGTGTCTTCAACCATATCTTTTCTTAGTCCATTTAGTTTTGCTGACATCTATTACAAAATTTAAGTAATATTAAAATGAGGCTGTTTTATTTTATAACATTTCTTAAAACATAATAGAAAATAACATTCTTTTTATTTTAAATAGTGAAATTGTGCTGAAACATTTTCTTTTCTACAACTTTTTGGAATGAAAAAGAGTGCTACTGCCCAGTCACACCAAAGCAAGTGAGCAAATAATTCATGTCCTTCTAGTCTAACTGTCCTTGGAACTGCAAGTGTGCATTCTAATTCTGAGTACCTTAGTTGTAAAATATCAACTTCTACCAAGACACGGACCAATGTTTTCATGAACCATCCTTCCTGATCTGTATGTATTCAGCCCCTTTATTGATGAACACATTAAGACTGATCCCTGAGCACTGATTTTCTCATCCTTAACATCCAGTGTACTGAGAAACACTTATTACAACTTTGCCTACTATAAACCTCCACTTGCTGGTGCATTCGATCGACATTTTAATGGAAATGGTAATTGGACATAAAAAGAGGAGAGAGAAGGATAATGAGGGACCCCACACCTTCAAGCACCATTCTGTGGGCTCGTTAAGCTTGTGTTTTATTTCCTTCCTTCAGCAATGACTTTACTTTTTGCCTTTTGGTAATTCAGGACAGGCAAAATAAGTATCCACGCTTGGGCCACATCAAATCTCAACTCCATCATCCTCTAAGTCCTGACCACTAAGGAAATATGATTAATTTTTTCTTTGAGAAAAAAGTTCATGTTTCCTAGCCCAGCTAGAAAATCATGCTCTCACTTACTCTTGCTCCATCATTTCCAGCTGTGCCCTCGGCACCCTTTTCTCCTATGCCACCCTAGGAAAACACAAGAAGTACCATTTATTTCTTTAATCATCTCTTACACTTACAAGGAAGCACCATACAGGCCAGGATTTGTCTTCTTACCTGTGTCCCCTCAAGCCTAGGACAGAACCTGATGTGCATTTTCTTGATCAATGTTTATTACAAGAATGAATGAATGCATACGTGCATGCATGCAGGAGTAAATGAGTGACTCTTGACCTGGGATGGTAGGAGGAAGGGCTTATTCGAGAAACCATTATCAGTAGAAAGTCTACAGAGGGAAACGGGAAAAATACAGGAATGATTGCACAGACTTACTCGGTCACCCTTGGGACCTGGAGTTCCTGCAATGCCTCTCTCTCCGGGCATGCCTTGGAGACCTGGAGGACCTGTGTCTCCCACCGTCCCTGTTGGACCAGGACTGCCCTAAGAGAAACAAACAATAGTGACCATACCAACACAGTAAGGACCAGACCATGTGAAATTGCTGCTTTAGTGGGGCAGGTATAATTGAATTAAAAATGTGTTTGTGTCTTGGAATGGATGATAATATGTTCTGGAGCATGATCCCCAGCACAGAAAAGATTTCTTTGCAGTTCACTCTTCGGTTACAAAGACATAGAAACACCACTTATTAAATATCTGTTGAATAAAAATGATATAATCAAGTTGTCTTGAAAAAGCAAGAGAAGTGCATTCTGATAACACAGTGTGCTGATAGCAATAGTTTAAGAGCAGCCGAGAACACTGAGTTCAGTATCTACTTACCTTTGGGCCATCAGGACCGTGTCCTCCAGCCATACCCTTCTCGCCAGGGAGCCCGGTGATCCCTGGTTCTCCTCTCTCCCCAGGATTTCCTCGCTCTCCCTAGTATAACATTGGAATGTCAAACAATCGCAGTGCTTGATCTAAGAGTGAGTTAAAAGTGTTCCTGTAAAACAGCTACTAGTAGAGAAAAATTTAGAAAGGGGCTAGTGTGGCTCAATTGTTCTACTTTAGCTCTAAGAAATGAGTATGAAGACAGAATATGCTAGTTTCGCAGGACTATTTGTCATAAGATTGATTTTCATCGAGCAGAGAAATCTAACCATTAAAAATAAAGCCTGTTTTAATAAAAATGCATTTGTAAACTGAAGCCAGTGGTAAACAAAATTAATCATGAAACAGAAAGCACTTACTCGAGGTCCTAAGGGGCCAACAGCTCCAGGGTCTCCAGGAACACCCTGTAAATACATTTTTAAGAGATGGGAGAAAAGCATTGAGGTAGATCTTAGACATTTATTAGAAATCTTTCCAAGTCACACATCTAATTTATTTTAGTGTGCCTTTATAAGGTTGAATAAGTCCACAATAATGAAGAATAAAATATATATTTTTTCTAAATGAGACAATAACACACCTGTTGGATAGAAATAGTTTTCCAGAAAATATATACTATACTTGAGTGTCCGGTTTTGTTTTTTTTGTTTTTTTGTTTTTTTGTGTTTTTTGGCGATGAGAAATTGCAAAATATTTTTACACAAAAATAGCATATTACCTTCTTTTTACAGACAGTAGAATACATTCCAAGTATCTCTTATTTCCTAAGGGACCATGATAAAGTTTACATAGAGAGAAGTAATATAAATAGCAATGGAGAACTGATCTTTCAAACGACACCAGTTCAATTCTATTTAACTGAGCATGGATACTAATATAGACAGAGAGCTCTTCTGGGATGTGTGACTTCAAAGTAGTACAGTCACATCTAACATAGAAGTTTCAATGTGTTCTTCACTAAAAGAATGTTTTTCAATTCAAAACTCCCCTCTTTCAGAAAGATAACTTCAGTCAACTCCAATCTTATTCTCTAAATGGACTGCCCTCACTTTTGAAATGATCTTCCTCAACTCCAAATCTGATGGCTCTGACTTCACACTTAAGAGCTCTTTATCAGCTTCCCGTTACCCACCAAAGAAGAACAGATTAGACCCTAATGGAGACTTTCTGCAATCTGTGCGCCAATTTGCCCGCTCCAGACTCATGTCCATAAGCTGTACCCACAGGCTGGGCGTCCTGAACATTCTCAGGGTGGTAAATCAGTCTGCAAGCCTTTGCACCTGCTGTCCCTATTTCCTAGAGTATTTTCTTCTCTTTCTCCACTTTAGCCACTATCCATCCTTCAGATCCCACACAGCGTAACACCTTACCTGGGAAGCTTTTCTTACGCCCTCACCTCTGAATTAGGTGCATCCTTTCTGCTTCATAGGGAAAGTGTCTGCTTATAGCATGGAGCACATGTTATGATTGTAACCATCTTCGATTTTTCTCTCTCTACTCCTATATAGGAGTTATATAGGAGCAAGGCCCAAGAATGGTCAGCAAATATTTGATGAGCGATATTGCACAAGTGAATCACTCAAACAAGAATGAAATGAATTTATTATCTCCAATAACTTTAAGTAAAACTCAGCAACCACCAACAAATCCTCACATCAGATGGGTGCAGGCAATATTGATCCCTCACAGGTCAGAAAAGGCAGGGGTGGATATTATTCAGAAAACCCAGGATATCTTGTGGTAGAGCAATGATACAGAAAGTGCTCATCAGTAATCATGATGGCAAAACACATGTAATCCAGATGCGATCTTCAGCAAATAATAAGGCCTCTACTCCTCTGTTTCCTCACATGCCCTTTCCTGGTGTCTTAGCTGCTTCCACAAACTCCTCAAGGCTACATTGATCTCACAGCTGATACTGCTGGTAATTTTGGCTCCACAATGAAGGAGCTTCTGCAGATCACTGCAAGCGACCAGTGAAACTAAAATACTACACTAAGATAGATCACAGAAACATGAATGTGCTCAACTTTGCAAAGATCATTAGGAATGCCAAATATCCTTGACAGTGAGACTGGTGTTCGTGGAGTCACTGCTCTGTCCCCCTCTGCACTAAATACCTTAGAGGATAGAAAGACATATAAAGTATGTAGGAAAGCTTACTAGCCAGGAGTATAAGACAGAAATTAAACAAAAAACAATCACAGAGCCAAGAATAAGAGTGATAATTAATTGTTCATTTGGTTACTGCTGTTTAGAAGTGCTTATGTAACCCTTGAGGGAATACGTGCATCCATCTGATATGAAACATTTCTGCATAAGTTTCAAAGGTAACTTCACTTCTAAAGAGTTTGCTTATATCTGATGACTTATCTAACTGCAAGTGCATTGGTTTTATTACCACCTAAGGAACTCATGGGCACAAACAGTCCTTAGAAATGATCCCAATAGAAAGACTGCACCAATAAATTTTTCTGGGCGTTTGGTACAGCTGTTCTGCCTGTATTATAGGTGATCAACAGGTTCCCTAAGATCACGCTCCAAATCACTGCCTTCTGAATCAAAATGCAAACCATGGTTTTTGTTTTTATTTTTTGGGTTATTTTCGGGGGGCTTGTTATTGGGGCAAAACAAGCAACCTCACACACTCACATATGAGGTTGTCATATGAAAAGTCTGCCAAAAAATGTAAACACACTTCAGGAAGAGAAAAATAGCATGATGCTATTTCCCACAGATGGTGTTACTTTGTACTGGGGATCCGGGAGCATGCTGCATATCACAGAAAACCGCTACACTGCCGGCCGTTAGGGAAGACACTGAAAATGCACGTGCAGCAATCTCAGTGACCGCGGTTGTCCAGGCAGCAATCCATACCAGTAAATGTCTGGAAGCTGATGGCCACCACTCTGAAAATCTCTTGTAATTGTAGAGGCCACAGGTAACGTGCATTAATCTCATGATGTCTCAATAAAGTTAGTATTAAAATATTTATACAAGTTTTTCTTTTCCTGAAGTGTGTATACATTTTTTGGCAGACTCTGTAAATACAAAACCTCATAGATATTGTTTCGCCTCATTATCCAAAAACTGTCAGGCAGTTTATTTTTCACTAGTATCAGACATCATAGAAATAATATATATTTTGAAGACATTTGTCTTTTTATGAACACTATGTTTATTTGTACAACACACTTAGTGAATGTCCCTAAAATCAGTAGGCTACAGGCATTCTTTATTTAGCGATCGAGATCCATTCCCGTGACTAAGTCACTAAATGAATACATCACTAAATGAGGAACTGTGTATGGTATGTACATTATAATATTCAAAATAAAGAAATGGTTAAAGGAAATCTCAAAGAGCTTGACTTTGATTTTCTTTGCATAACTCTTATATACAATACTGCAAAGTATAACAGAACATAAAACTACATTACGGTACTGCACAGTACAATCAGCAAAAAGTACTGTATAAACAAAGTGTATTGTATCAAAAAAAGACACTGTGTCTCTATCAGCAAGATGTACAGAACTGTACAAAAAAAAGATGGGGCCTAAGTCGAAACAGCGTGCCTCGATGGTTAAGTCTGAACAGTCGTTACATGCGTAGGTCTTCAAAGGAGGAATATCGGTATTTAGTGATCAAGAACACAGCCTTGAGAAACAGAGAGACTGGCTTCAGATCATATCATCTACGACTTTTGGAAAGGTATCTAACATCTATGTGCCTCCTTGATGTCCTCATTGTTAAATGGTGATAATAACAGTGCACAGAACATAGGGTTATTCTGTGAGTGTTCAAAAAGGTAACATATTCAAAGAAATCCACTCATCAAGAGTGATATTTTCAGCTATTATTATTATTTAAAAACTTACTTGATCTCCTAGCTTTCCACCTTCCCCAGGAGGTCCTGGAGGCCCAGGAAGTCCCTAAAATGGAAGAAAGGAAATAAACTGTGAATCTGTAAAAGTTTAAATAGGCTACCAATGTGAAGCGTTCACCTTTTACAATACATCGAGTCTCTATGACTATAGCAAAAGATATTGTGTAGCCATGTTAAGCAAATCTTCAAGAAAAAAAATATTCACACACGTTAAGAATACTGCTTGTAAGAAAACAAAGGAGCTCATTAATTTGCAGGGCTAGACATCCTTAACTTGCAAACAATTTAGCAAAAAATAAAAGATGAATATGACAGTAAGTTCTTCATGTCTGCAGAATTTTCATGCTCTGAGGACAGTACTTGAGATTACTAAATATTACTGGAAATCAGTTCTGAAGTCTTATCACAAATTATGATTATTTATGCTATTAAATACTATAATGTAAATATGTGCAGATAAATCATGAAAATTTGTCCGAGAAGAAATTCTAGTGACTGTGCCAATAAAGCTAGATAAATTTTTAAAACAGTTACTAAATTGAGCATTATTTAGATATGGGAAATTTTTGTTACTTTTAATTTGTTAATAATTTTGTGTTTGGGCTGGGGATTTAGCTCAGTGGCAAAGCGCCTGCCTAGCAAGCGCAAGGTCGTGAGTTCAGTTCCCGGTACCGGAGAAAAACCAAAAACCAAAAAAAAAACAAACAAAAAAAAAAAACAACAACAAAAAAAAATAATTTTGTGTTTGATCAGTTTTTTCAGGGGAAATCCATTCCTTTTCTTTGAACCAAAATATTTGATATCTATCCAAATATCTATCTTACTATTAAAAGAAGGATGACTTTTTTTTTGGAAATTTGAGAATTTCACACTTATGTTTCTACAGTTTGTGAAGATATTTGCTGGATGATGAAATGGAACCTGAATTAGCACATACCTGAAATCCGGTGGGCCCTGGAGGCCCCTGTTCTCCCCTTTCTCCAGCTAGACCCTAAGTCATGAACGAAAGAAAACCATAAATACAGTGACACTTTTATTTCCGCTTCCTGTTTGTGTGAACCACTAGAAGTATTGATACCTCTGTATTTCTTCCAATAACATATTTCCACTGCAACCAGATAATAAACTATTAAAAAATACTTAATGGTATTATTTGAAGTCCATGCTGGCAAGAAAATATCTTCTGGGGCTGGGGATTTAGCTCAGAGGCAAAGCACCTGCCTGGCAAACGCAAGGTCATGAGTTCGGTTCCCAGTACCGGAGAAAAACCCAAAAAAAAAAAAAAAAGAAAATATCTTCTAAAGAGAGGAAGAGTCCTACAGGATGTATTCAGTTTTTGATCCAAACATAAAGTGTCTGGATCTAACAGTAAAATTATAAGGAAATTGAATAAATTAAGTATCGAAAACCCTATTACATTAAGGTATCTAATCTAAAAGGGAATAATTTCTACTGTAGTTTATTTCTAAGTGGCATAAGCAGGAACTAACTTTTCAAGCCCCAAATGATTAATGAAAGCAAAGTTAACATTTTGGAAAGATATTGTTAAACTACTCCACCCTAAAGCAACAAACATGCCAAAATATTTTTGATAAACAATTTTAAAATCCCAGGATGAAAACATAATCTCAAAAGATAAATATTATTCCTTTCTACTCCTTCAAGAAAAGCCAGCTTAAGAAATTTTTATGAGATGCATTATTGGAAAAAGGTAGGTGTAATTCAGCATGTAACTATCTTTTTCTGGTATATGTTTGCAGTGCAACTAAATTGGTACAAATACGTATCCAAACTTGGTCCTTTTAATTTCCCATTCCTCCCTTTTCCCCATGTCCCCAAGCACAGATTTTATTCAGATCTCTGCAAAATCACCACTTCCTACAATGAAATACACTGCAGAAAATTTATTTGTCAAAGCATATTTTCCTCAGTGAATATATTCTTCAACTATGACATGTAAAGATAGTGAGGCGACCTTTGCCATCACATAGTTTAAAAGCTTAAAATGAACAGACCAATCATTTTGTTGAAAAAGGCAGAAATCACAAGATTACAAAGATTCCAATGTAGAGATACAACTAAAATTCTTCAGCCCTATGCATTCTCATTCACTTCCCCTGCAATCTCTTCATAAGTAAAATCTTGGACAAACGTAACTAAGCAATGCAACGTAAAAAGATTATCCCTGAAAGGTCACATACCGGGGGGCCAACGGGACCAGAAGGACCAACTTCTCCATCTTTTCCAGGTGCTCCCTGTTGTCAAAGAGGTCATTTGTGAGGTGAAGTTGTGAGAACTTGAATAATTTCTTTTTTTTTTTCTTTAGTAGAAAACGAATAATTACCCTCTGCCCAGGAACACCAGCATTCCCTGCTTCTCCAGGTTTTCCAGGGTCACCCTAAAGAATAAAGTGAAGCTATTCCAAACTTCAACCAATTTGCTGGGAACATACCTTGGTCCCCACATGAGGATTCCCATGAGACAGTGAACGTTTCACGCCATACTCACACTGCTACCTTTGGGGCCTGGAAGACCCATACTCCCAGGCTGCCCTCTGATGCCTATGGAGCCTGGAGGACCCGGTCGGCCATCTTCCCCTGGAGCACCCTACAGGACAGACAGAGTCAGGGGAGTCGCGCAGTGCAGAAGTTCTCTGCACATGACGTAAGCTGGCACTTGCCTTTGCTTATGATGAAAGTTACATAACTTTTAAATGTTCCTGTGTTTTAATGTTAGTGAGTCAGAACAGCTGGATAAGTACACTGAGTACATGGAACAGAGATTCTATTCTTACTCTGTTCATAAACTTAGTGTTCACATTTCCTGGAACTCTCGTAACAAGGGGAATCTTCTTCTTTCATTTATTCAACATCATCTTGTAATATTAGGAATGGGCTTAGAGTATATAAGCTGTCAAAATTCATTCTTATTTATCACTTACATATGTAAAACTGGATCTCCAGAAATAAGAATATGAACAGGCGAATTCCACCAATATTGAAATTCACCGTGTAAACTTTTTCACCAAGGCAATTTTAATCTCAAACATACATGTTAATAAAATTTGATCTATATTTTGGTTCATTTGGCTTTTTTAAATTTATTTTTTGTCTCTTTGAGACAGGGTCTCACTATACAGTTCAGGCTGGCCTTGAGCTCACTTTGTAGCCCAGGCTGGTCTCAAATTCACAATGATCCTCCTGCCTCAGCCTCCCAAGTGCTGGGATTACAGGCATGCACCACCATGCCCGGCTATTTTGGTTAATTTGAAAATATACAGACCTTAATAATTTGCAACCAAGGGGTATTATAAGTATGTAAACATTCTCAGTATCCACATAGCCAAAAATATTAACCTCAAATAAATATCATTTACATTAAATGCCAGTTAAATATATTAAGGATGATTGTTGTTTAGATCACTTACCAAAGGTCCAAGTTTTCCTTCAGGACCTTGAACACCAGGATTTCCTGTCAGACCCTGAAAATTAAAAGCAACTGTGATTCTGTTGGTCATTGGCCACTGAAGTACAGATTCTAAAGAGGAAAACTCATATTGTGCTGTTGGCAACTGAATATAACAGCAATTCTCTAGTCCACATAAATTTTCACATGACTCTTATTAAAATTAGGCCAGTGATATAGCTCAGTAGCACAGCACCTGCCTGGCAAGAGCAAGGTCCTGAGTTTGACTCTCGGTACCCAAAGCATAAAATAAAATAAAATTTTCTCTTTAAAATAATAAATGAAGGGAAGAAAAACAAAAAATAAAATTAAGCTCAGGAATTGTCTGTACCAAAGACCAAACAAGCTGTTTCAGCAAGAAATAAAAAAAATATATAAAAATGAACCAACAGGAGATTTTATACTCATCAAGTGATAACGCGATTAATACACAGCCCTTTGAGAAAGGCAGACTGGAAGATACAGTGCTTTATCGGCATGACAAAAATAACAAACTGGTATTTTCAAAATAACAAATAGGGCCAAAACCATAAAAATAAAGCAAAACAAAATTTTCCCAGCTGTGAATGAGCTAAATTTAAAAAAAGATTAAAAACCTTCAACACATGCTCAAGAGGATTTCTTTTGGTCGAGGTAGTGGGCAGCTGCAATGTTCTTACCCGAGCACCTGGAAGGCCAGGTTCGCCTGGACGCCCTGGGTCTCCCTGGCCCCCTTTGGGTCCTGAGGAACCGACAGGGCCGCGCTCTCCTTGAGCACCCTGTTCCAAAACACAGCAGACGAGTCAGGATCAAAGGTAAGTAACAAAAGCAAGCAGGGGTTAAACTCTCACTTCCTAATTCCACCCGGATATACAATATTCCATCAAGGAGGAAGACAATTGTTTGAAAACTGTATGCCTGCACATCTTGTTCTCATTTCAATTCCCTGTAAATAATTGCTTTAATTTTCCATCATTAACTAATGAAACCTCTAGCTACAGCCTCACTCCACTAATTTAGAATTTTTTACAAGTAGTATTTCGAAAATGTCTAAACTTCCAACTAAAGGATATATGCTACATTAGCTAAAGTAAGTGTCTATAAGTTTTTGTTCTCAGATTGTCCCTGAAGAAATTGAAAACAAGCTCCCATATTCTTCAAATCATTATCTTTCTCTTTTAGACCTTTTGATTCAAAAACATTACACAAGAAATGTTTGGGGCCAGGCCTGACATCTGCATCCACCATCTTGCTGGACCTGAACCAGAGCTATAGACAACCCCACACTGGAAAACGGAGTCTCAGAGCAGCTCGTCTACGAGCACCTCATTGGTGGAGTGATCTCACCTTCGGGCCAGGTAAACCATCTGAGCCTGGAAACCCACGATTGCCAGGAGCACCCTACAAAAGACCAAATGTGTTCTTAACTGCTGTTGACAGCTTTGCAGTATAGTGAATAATTTGTATTGTTAGTACCGTAAGTTTTTAGGAGCTGTGATCAAGCCCACATAGCAATAGGAAAGTACAACGAAAGAATCTGACTAGTCAGGATTAATTTTGAATTTAAAAGACTATGCAAGAACTGCACCAGATAATTCTTCAAATACAAGCATACCCTAATGATGCACTATAAAATCAAACAGAGAAGAACCAATACGTACACATGACAGCCAAATAGCCATATGCTGAAATCAAAATGTCACAATAACATGCACTAATGTTGTCTTATATTAGAAGCCGCTGGCATCCTCCAAAGCTCTACATGAATCTGAGATTATTGTCCATTCCAATCTGCTTCATTGCACACCAATCACAGAAGTCTCTTCTCATCTTTAAGCAGTATTACCAAGTCCTTTCTGACCCTCCTGGCTTAGCAGTTATTTTCTCATGTGCTAATAATGTTCTTTCTCCCTCACTGGGTGTCTGCCAAACACTATCTTCTAAGAGGACCCTACTTCCTAGCCACTTAATATAACTTTGCAGCACTGTCATGTACCCACCATGTCTTCCCATTGTTTAATAAATGGACATGGCCCTTACTTATTACAGTGTGTGAATGCGTTTCCATTTACCTGTGTTTCCATTTACCAATGGAATGTGCTTCCATTTACCTGTTGACTTGCTAATTGTTTACCTCTCCATTGAGATGAACTATTGTTTACTAACCCACGTGAGTACTGGGACAACTGCTTTCTGTTTACTGATATAATCCAAGCCCAAAAGCTCCAAAGGGCATGGAGCAGTCACTCAATTAATATTTGCTGAACAAATAAATGAAGAAAGACTAGACAGTTGGTCCTCTTCACAGACAGACAACACTATTAAACTACCTGCAGCATATATCTTAACTTCTTTAGTTTTCCTGTTTATCCCCAAATATAGTCACGCACTTTCTCTACGAATGCATTTTATTACTCAAATGTACCCTTTCTCCCATTGGGCCTGGAGGACCAACTGTTCCTGGGTCACCTCGAGGACCTCTTTTGCCTTCTTCACCCGGTGGGCCAATCGGACCCTGAACACCATGCGGCCCCTGTCAAAAACAGAATGCTGGTTACCATAAAGAGTCATTTGGGTGATATTTGGAAGGCTCCTTTAATGAAGTCACAGAGTTTAAAGTATATTAAATGATTAAAGTATTTTCATCCCAAGCTATTATAATTCCCAGTTATTTTAAAGACTTGGGCTTTTTGAGCTGTACACTTCCAGACAGCATTTATGCTCTTCTTATCATTGAAAACAATGAAGACTTACTGGTTCCCCCTTGGGGCCAGCTTCTCCTTTGAAACCTGGAACTCCTGGATCACCCTAAAATAAATACCAATGGTTTATACTGAGAGACAGCAGGCATCTCACCAACCCGCTCTAAGCAATTGCAGTGCCTAGACCTTAACATTCTTCAGCCACTAAGTCTGCATTGCATTAGTATTACAATATAATCATTTTTTAAAATTTTGTAAATATTGTAGACTATATGTTAATTTTTATAAAATTAGTATAATTTAGTAGTTCACTTTACATTGACCTAGAAGAAATTTATTTTTAAAAATATGGGTTTTATCACAGATATTACTAAAATTAGTACTGTTAAGTTATTCAAATATGATCATTAAAATTAGGACTAACAATGATAATTTCCTTGGTAACATTATTACACGTTTATTTTAGGATAGAGACTTCTTTACACAAAATGAAAATAATTTTATGGTTATGTTCTATTTCCTGAAAATTTGGAAACTTCAGATAGAGTTATTTGTAGACTGTTCTACTGTTTTGTAAATATGTCTTAGAACATTAATTGCAGGAACTAAATTGCCAAATTCAGAACATGATAAAAATCAATTGTGACATATCAGCAACATTCATACACTGAGAAATTTCTCATTAGCATTTAGAAAGCCTTTATTAGCATAACCACACCATTTAGAACAGAATCTAAAATATTTGTTTAAATAAGTAGTAAGAAAGTTTTTATTCTTTTTTATGAAAGTTTTTATTCTTATATACTAGGATAAAAGTTGTTTAAGCACAAGTTTTTAATATATTTATTTCAATGGACTCATCACAATATGTTTCCTAATATTTCTATAAAATATAATAGAGACTCACTCAATGTAAACAATATGTTGGAATAACTCATCAAGAAGAGCTCTCAAGAAATAGCTCTTAAACCCAATTTTAGCCAATCATTATTATAAATTCCTATTATTCCTCCATGTTTATTCTCATTGGCTTATAAAACATTTCCATTACATTGACTTTTTCAGCTACTTATGAAATTCTGTGAGGTGTACCATGAAGTTACTATTTCATGACATTAAGAGTTTTTAACACACCAGAATTTACATATTGCAATGTTCAACTTAAAATCTAACCTTTGGCTTAAAACCTAAACATCCAAATCAACATCGACTTCTGGCTTTCCCCTTACAACCATTCCAGTCTTCATTTCCCTCATTTGGATGCCATATGGTCTCCTTTTCATTCTTCCTAAGTACTTGTTATTTCTCTAGGCCCTCTTGGTTGGACTAGACTAAAGTATGGCAGTTGTTTCCAATGATGATATTACCGGTTGTCCTCGAATTCCCTGAGGTCCAGTGCTACCCTGAGGGCCAGGAGATCCAGGGGGCCCTATCAAGCCAGGAGGACCAGAGGTACCGGCTGAGCCCTGTCAGACAGCAAGAGTGACATGATCAGCAGACACCTAAGAAGTAACTTATGGCCACTCTCCAAAGAATTGCATCCTTTGAACTTCGTGTGGCATAAACGCAGTTACTTACTGTGGGGCCTTTGGCACCAGGTGTACCATCAGTTCCCATAGCACCCTAAAAGACACATAAAAAGGTTTTGAAACATTAAGCTATATCTGGGTACCCCCTGGAATGGTACTCAGATGTCCAGTCAACTTCCAAGAGGAGGTAGACAAACTGAGAACCTGCCTTCCAACCCACCGTGATACCATAAAATACTTTTTTAATTAATTATCTTTTTCACGGAATAGGTAAAATGGGCAGAACTGATGTGAAAGTTTTCTCATTGGTTTTAAGCATTCAGAATTGAAACACAATATCTTAAGCTAAGTTGCATTTGTTTTGCTGTTATAATAAGTGCCCCTCTTGCCGGGCTAGTTCTTAGACACACTGGGAACTTACAGGAAGCCCTTGAGAGCCAGCTGGACCTGGTGGCCCAGTTTCACCTCGCTGGCCCTGAGGACCTTCAGGACCTCGAGCCCCTGTAGGACCTGCTTCTCCCTAAAGGGGGGGCAAAAGAAAAGGTTAATTTAACAAAAACATGAGAAAGCTGTGGTATGACATTGACAGCATAGAGATTTTCATTTTAAACGTAAACATTTAAAGGCGTCAAGAGCACAAAGTGGCCTATCAGGGAGGGGTGTGTGGTTCAGCTAGCTTACAAAATGGACTCATGTCTCAGCGCTGCCTAGGTCATCATGCTGCAGCCTCTTCACCAGGAATAGTCTCCACATTCCAACTCCCAGTTATAGAAGTGCTAACCATCGACCAGGTCAAGACCTCTACAGAATCCAAACTCTCTTACCGTATTTATCAGATCATTTTAATTTATCTCACAGTTAACATTTAACATAAGTCTAGAGCCATAACCAAAGCTGGGAATATCCCTGTACAAGATCTTGATATCTCTATATCAGACATGTCTTTATATTACAGGTATTGATACCCTAAATCACAACCACCTTGGTGTAAACATCAGGAATACATTCACATTCTAACCAAAATGATCAGATGGAGGAAAATTAATCAGATCTCCTGTGCTAGCATGACTTATTTCTGTTCAAAGAAAGCCTAGGTATTTCTGGACCACAGATTAAGCTTGATTTGATACAGGGGATAAACCAAACTAGTTCCTAATATTTCCAAATAACCCAATATCAGCTAAAATGTGTTGCACAAATTAGATAATGCTTCTTCAAATGGGTAAAATTCACTGTAAAAAAAGTTCATCTATAAATTTATTTTAAAATTTCATATCATTACAGAATAAGTGATATTTTTCTGTGCTATAGAGCAATATAAATGTCACATTTCAGAGTGGGGGAGATGAGTTCATTTACAAAAAGTTCAATTCTATTAATCTTCAAGAAGGTGTTCATTCAATATGGGGAAAAAACACCAGGCTACAAATGTCTAATGAACTTGACAACTTCTGGCAAACTAAAAGCAAAGTCCCATTTATTTAAAAAACAAAAACAAACTGCTTCTTTGAGAAGAACCAAAGGATATTTAAGAAAACAAGATAAGAGCAAAGTGAAGTGGTCAAGAAAACCTGATCACTACCTTTATTTCTATCTGAGATAGTGCTCCAGATAGAAAACAAAATTCAGGAAGCTTACTTAAGCTTCAATTCAGATAAACCAATAGCATCTCATCTAAGTTTTTCCCATGCAACATTTGGGACATATCTATACTTTATTTATGTGATACTCAGACTTGGTTCCTCTATTTTAGTCCATGTATTATGTACCTATGTATTTCTAATCCTAGAAGTACCTGCAAAACTAAAATCATAAGCCTTGAGAGGTTCATCTGTATCAGTAAAATATAACAAGTCCTATTACTCTTCACTGACATGCAAAGAAGTTTATTCATCCAGAGAGCCAGAGACCATTGCCAAACCTCACAAAAATAGCAGAATTTTAGAAAAAAAAAGAGCCAGGAATTTTGTGGTGGGTGGTAGAAATGCAAAGACAGGGAATCATTTTCTGAAAGAAACAGCTTTGCTAGTTGTCTGAGTTTTATCAGAGAACCAACAACCAGTCTTATAAACATGCAGGAGAAGGGGGAAGGATCCACAGCGCCTGCTTGTATAACCTGTGATTGCTAGTGAAGTTGACATAGTTCCTGCTACAGCAAGAGCAGAAATTCCTTTCTGATACCCACAGAGCTAGGCTTTATGAGTTCTCCTTCCCTATTACCCTAGAAAAAACTCAATTTGGAGGAGGGGAGTCTTGGAAGAAGAGTAACTGGAGGCTGCACATTTCGATAGGGGTATACAAGGAGGTTAGGGTGGAATCAGTGGTGTTAAGATTTGGACTTCATGGCTGGAGATGTAGCTCAGTGGTAGATTTTATGCTTAGTATGAAGCAGTTTCTGAAATCAACCTCCAGAAACACAGGACTATGGACATGCGCACACACATTCACACTCGGACTTCACAATCAGAGGGAAACTAAAGGATTCTCAAAGAAAGGAGGGACTGGTGAACAAAGTGACTGAAGACATCCTCTTTAAGCAACCCCGCTCCTGGGCACAGACTTTAAGGACAGTATTACAGAGAGTGTAGAGAACAATCAGACCTGATGATTCTCATGGTTCAAAGGGTGCCTGAGATGCTGGGGATTTTTTTTCCTAAATTCAAATCCAATTTAAGCAGCACTATTAAGGAAAAGCACGACACTACCCTGAGAATGTTCTCTGTACCAGGATTTATGTGGTTGCTCTCATTTTTTTTTATTTTAAAGAGAAAAAAGTAAAAATAACAATAAAACAATTTAAAACATGCTAGTAGGACAGTAGCAGTAATACATTGTGTACTGTTATATTCACAATAATTGTTCAGAGTACAAGATATATGTATGACATATTGTCCAAACTATATTAGCACCAACCTTTCTCTCCAGGGCACCAAGAGATCCTAGCTGTCTTAACTATCTTGAGTATATATATATTTTTCTTTTTTTCTTTTTTTTCTCTCTTTTTTCTCCTCTCAGTTTTTCTTTTCTTTTGGACAACTCCTTCCCTATTCCCAATATCTATTGTACATTTTGGATCTTATTTATTCACTTAGCTTCTCACATTAGTGATACACTGTGACATTTACACATGTGGGTCTGACTAATTTCATTTATGAGTATGGTCTCAAGTTGCATCCATTTACCTACAAAAGTCTCAAGTTTATCTTTCTTTATGGCTGAGAAGTATTCCATTATGTAAAAAAATGCACATCCTTTTATCCATTCCTCAGTTGATGGATATTTAGGTTATTTCCAAGATTTAACTATTACAAGTTGTGCTGCTATAAATATGAATGCACATATATCGCTGTGGGTGATGTTTTTAATTCTCCTGAGAAGATACTCAAAAGGAGAATAGCTGTGTCAAATGGGACCTCTAATCCTACTTTTTAAAGAAATCTCCACACTGATTTCCACAGTGGTTACAACAGTCTACACTCCCTCCAATAGTGGAAGAGTGTTCCTTTTTCCCCACATCCCTGCCAGCCTTTGTTATTGGCTGATTTCTTGATGATAGCCACTCTTTCTGGAGTGAGATGGAATCTCAGTGTTGCTTTCATTTGCATCTCTTGAATGACCAATGATGTTGAACATTTCTTCGTGTATTTATTTGCCATTTGTATTTCTTCATCTGAGAAGTGTGTATTCATCTCAGATGCTCATTTTTGGACTGGGTCTTTGAATTTGGGGGGCTTATTTATTTTCATTTCTTTAGATGTTCTCATTTAATCCTAGAAATAATTCCATGGGAAAACAAGGCTTAGAGGAGCCAGGTGACGGCCCAGGGCCACATTCATCTGTTTAAGGCTGAATCTTGCAGCAAATCCCTTCTGCAGATGAAGAGAGTTATTGCCAAAAGGAAATTGAGAGTGAAGGGGAATCAAATGTTACAGTGCTTACAGTTTGAGAGCAGTGCTCTGAATTAACTTTCTGATGTAGCTATCATAATCACAATCATAATCTTCCTACTGTAACCTTTGAATTTCTCCCACAGTGCTGAGGGGAAAAGCAAATAGTGACTCACTACAAATATAAGTCATCCCAGCCAAATACTTTAATCCATTCCCATGTGAAAAGCCAAATATCCTCCCAGCCCACTCTATACAGCTGCAGGTAGGGCAGCCGAGGGATGGCCAGCTTTATTTGATAAATTCTGATTTATTTTAACCTATTACTGTTTAGAACATCCTGCTATTACTACCCGGCACTCTACTGAAAAACACAGACCCAGTTCATTCTGACTACTAGGCACTAGCGTGCTATATAGTAGATTCTTTGATATTACAATTGAATGACTATAGGTCACTTTCCTTTAATCACATATTATATAGTTATTTCCATTTCCTGTGTTTATTTCCCTATCATAATGGACAATGAACACGCTATTCTAGGCTCTTTCTTCAGTTAAGAAGAACTTCCATACTCTTCAGTTTGTGAAAGGTCACTCTTCATTTTGGGATTCATGTGCTCAAGCAAATTTAGATGTATTAACTACTTACTTTCATTCCAGGATTTCCTGGAAAACCAGGAGACCCAGATATACCAAGGGGACCCTATTAAAAAAAAAAAAAAAAACACTAATCAGTCATGTATTTAATTAATACCTACTTAAGTTAGTTTTTCATTTTCTAATAAAAATCAATCTGTATTTTGACACAGTATAGGAAAACATTTTGTACTTTGAAATCACAAATATAATAATATAATTTTATGACAAGTACTTTCTAACATTGTTCTAAAGAGTGCTGAAAAATGTAGCCAATAGTAGGCGGTAGGAGGATCCTTTAATTTTTCAAAATTGCTTCTTGAAAGATATACTTTATCGACATTAGCAAAATAACAATTATAGCTTTTTAAAAGTTATATTTTGTGCCAAAAGTAATATTTCTTTCCATAAAAATGATGCTTAAGAATCATATGAATATTTTATGGTGTTTTTTAAAGAATAATAAGTGAATATTTATAACCATCTCACATTTGGAAAGTCATACATACAGCTGAAACCATTGATTTAAAAGTTGGATTTAGAGGAAATGAATTTTATTGTATTTTTTTTATTTTTTATTTTTTTATTTTTTGTCTTTTTGAGACAGGATCTCGCTATGCTGTCACGCTGGTCTTGAGCTCACTTTGTAGCCCAGGCTGGCCTCGAACTCACAACAATCCTCCTACTTCAGCCTCCCAAGTGCTGGGATTACAGGCGTGCACCACCACACGCTGCTAGAGGAAATAAATTTTAGTATATGTGCTGCCGAAGCGAGCACGAGGAAATAAATTTTAAAAGAATTATATTCTAAACTTTGTAAGTTATCTTGGTTCTTCTTGAGGACTATATTTTAATTCGATGCGTTCTGAATTAATAAAAGTTTTTTTACACTATTCTTTTCCTAATTACACCTTTTCACATTTTTTATTATTGCAAATTTGTTATATGGATTAATGGGGGATCTTGGCAGATTCGTACGTTCATACGAAACAACATCATTCCCCAACACCACCCCCCCTGTTTTCACACTGAGGGTACCAATGTGTATATCTGGATAATATCCATGCCCCATTACTTACCTTAGTTTCTGTCCTAAATTTTGTTCCATTTTTATAAATAATAAGGGAAAAAAGTCCTTAAGACAATGATTTTAATTAATATAATTCTATTCTACTTTTGTCATATGGAACAAACTGAAACTTTGATATTTTTTCTTTAATCATCTTTCAATATTGTTTCTTGTTGATCAGGAATATTCATTCTTTCCTTCTCAAGTTTCTTTCTATAGTGTTTAACAGTACAATTTACCTTGTGGAGTTTGACCCAACTTTATAAACCTGAGCCATGGAGTATTTTTTTTTTTTTTTTGGTTTTTCTCCGGTACCGGGAACCGAACTCATGACCTTGCGCTTGCCAGGCAGGCGCTTTGCCACTGAGCTAAATCCCCAGCCCCCATGGAGTATTTATTTAGGATGCCTGCACTATTAGCGTGTATAGTTTGTTAATAGCCACTCTTCACCATATATGGAATCACTTCTGCTTGATGTCATTATATCCTCCTTTAGTAAACCAAGACACCACAGTTAGTCATGCAATTTGATGTGGGAAACACCTGTATGGATCAATTTCTCTGTAGTTCAGAAAAGAACTTTATATTTTACACTATTTAAGGCATCATTTAGCTTTGTTTTGCTTGTGCAGTTATAATTTAAATGCCCTTCACAGAATAAAACCAGAGACTTTGACTCATGAGTTACTACTACAATCTACTTGTCCTCTGAACTTTTATGACTCTGGGTATTTCAGCAGTGATTGTGCCTACATACACGGGACAGCAGTTGCAAGGAGAGGGTGAAAAATTGAGTAATATGCTACCAAACTGTCAATTTTATGATTTTGCCTTTGTTTATAATTACTGCTAATAAGTAGAAATGTTCAGATTTTTATCTTCACATGTGAGTCAAAACTTTATATTTTCAGGGAGTGCCTGAGATTTAGTGCAAGGCTATCTGGACCAAAACACAATGACCTTGTTAATAGTAGGTACCAAAAGCACAGTAAGGAAATATTAGCACTGTCTGAAGCCTTATTATTTCATGCTACACTTTTACTCCCATGGCTTAATTTATTGCCTCTACTTTAAAAAGTTCTAAACCTACAACTACAATTCCGTCTATACCATGCTTGGCACACTTCTGCGTAATCGACTACAAAACTGATTTCTTTCCATTCTACACACAAATTTACAAACTGATCCTTTTTTGTATTTTAAGTTTCACATAAATTAGATCATTCACCAAATTCCTTTAAAAAAATCTATTCAGCTATGTCCATTAGACTTCTTAGGTCAGTGATGTGCAGTCTGCCTCCATTAATAGTAACTTCAATTCACCTCTGTATATAGTTTCTCTCTGGGATTATGCAGTGTTATCCCTATTTAGTCTTAACTGTCTTCATCTGGTCTTCTATAGTAATGGTAGATGATCTCCTGTCAGGACACTCCTATATTTAAAATTCCTGAATTGTTTCTCAATGCCCTATAGAAAACAGCTCCAAAACTGCTCAACACAGAAAATGTAATAAGCATCCCTTTCTGATCTGGCACCTGCCTGCTCGTCCAACTTTACCCTCTTGGTATTTCCCAGAGATCTCCATGTTTTCATCTATCCATTCTGTGGACCAAATTATATTCTTGCACATTTTCTATATTCATTTTTCAAGACATGGCTTGAAAATTACTCCTTTTTAGGTTCTTTTTATGTCCTTCTTCACTTTAGGTTTAGTTAGGTACTTCCTCTTCTATGCCCCTATACTTCACTGTATATTCCATGTCATAGCAGTTGGCAATAATTTCATGAAATGATACTAATTAATATATCCAGTTTTCAAGGACAACAACTGTGCAGTATTATCTTTTATCTCATGCACCCAGAGAATAATAGGTGCTCTGTAAGTGCTTATGAATGTACAAATGAAAGAATGCACAAATTAGTTAGTAAATGACTGTAAAAGAAACACGACCCACCATTGGTCCGGGTTTGCCAGGCATACCGTGTGCACCTCGCTGTCCCTAATTAGAAGGAAAAAGGACCAGGTAAGATTAAATTTTCTATAGTATTTTTCATAATTTATTTGCTTTGTAAACAATTTCTATGTTAAAAATTGAAAAATAAATATTCATGTCAACTGATAAAAACTGTTACTAAGCTAACAGCAATAAAAATATACATGTACACAAAAAGGTAGTAATAAATACATTTATTGTTAAGACAATAAAAAACAAATCAAAATTGAGAAGTGAAACTGGTTAAATTGGCTCTATTTGCCTTAATGGATCACCATCTATCACATGAGCTCAGAGACAATGAGATTTTGAACATCTTAGCATTCTTCCTAGCCAGACTAACTCAGAGAAGGACTATCCTTGCAAAAGTACACAAATAAGAATAAGTAAATAAAATTCATTCACACAGAAATAATTCTCCAGAGAATTCTGTGGGTCTCCCAGGATCCCCTCCAGGATTACTGTATTTCCTGCCATCTGGAAGTGTCACCCACTGAGGGATCACAGATGAGTCTGTCCCCAGGAGCTGTTCTTGACTCAAGGGACCAAGCTCTATCAAAGTCTTTCTCTTTCTTTGGCCAGTGTGTGGGTACAAAAGATTGACTTCTATTCAACGCAAGTCGGGGAGCTCCATAATTTTCCTGGGCTTTAATCAAGTCTGTTGCAACTGCAACACAATTCAACTCCCCCCCATTGCCGCAATGCTGCTTCTTTTGTTCACTCTTTCCCAAGTGTACTGTCTAAGCGCACTCCCCAGAAAATTTTCTCTGTGCAAGCCCTTTTTCTGGGAAAAGAAACCTGACCTAAAGCCTTAAAACAATTGGTGCCAGGCTGGATACAAGAAAGCAGACTCTACATAGGAACTCTTAAACTGGGGTCCGCACTGCTCTGTTGGTAAAACATGAAGCAGGGGTCACCCTTGGCAAGCTGTGCTAGTGGAGAGGTAAAGATTGTCTCCGAGATAGGGCATAAGTGTAAGGGAAAGGACTAGCGGTGCAATGTCTCTGGCATTTGAAAAGTCTTAGGAGAAACATCTATAAATTTCATGACGATTCATGAGTCTTCGGTGCATCCACTGTCAAAAGACTTTGAAATGTGCTAGTGATTCGACCTAAGTAAGCAGGAGAGGAATTCTATAAATTCTCTTCACAGCTTTTGAAACGTTTGTTAGTCTATGCTGGCTAACATTTCAAATCTGAGGTTTAAACCAATAAGAATATTATTCATAAAAGAAAAATAGAATAGTGGGTGACCTATTGTTATTCTCATTTAGAAAGCATATTCAGTAAAACAAACCTTAAAAACACTTGAAATTCACATCTCAGTGTATAAATGAAGGCAGATACACTTACAGGAGCACCCTGCGGCCCAAGTCTCCCTCTTTCTCCTGGCATTCCTCTTGGACCCTGTAGGTAAGAGAAGAAATATTTCTTGAAGCATTTAACTAGAATTCGAGGCTGTCTGACTCAATATAATTATTCATCAAACAGCAATATTTCCAGGAACAGTTTTAGATGTAAAAGACGCTCTACCTATGAAGATACCTACACTACACACTCATATAAACAGATTTCACTTAACCTAGACTTAATGGGTCGATTGCGTATTAACACTCAATCTGTGAGTATAGCAAAACAATAAGGCACTTGACAACTTAGAATACTGAAATACAAGAAGCACTCTTCACCTGAAGGACCTGCTGTTCTTGATTTGCTTGTCTAGAAGCTGCTCATCAGATTATTTCCCTAGACAATATTTTTTTTACATTTAACGATTCTCTTCATATTATCTAAAAACAGAAAAATAAGGAAATACATACCAGTGGACCCATGGCGCCCATTGGACCAGTAGGGCCAGCTTCACCCTAAAGCAAAATTGAGATTTCATTGCAGTATGAGAAATATAAATTCATATTAATATCTCACAGTTCTCTGTGAGCATAATTTTAAATGCATGTTTTCAAAGAAGCTATTTAAAAAGTGCGCTTTCATTGCAGGATCTCAGAATTTACTGCCTGTTCTTAAGATTAAATGAAAATTTTCTCTCTATGGAAATGTCTAAAAAGAAAATTAGGGATATAAACAAGATCAATAAAAAACTATCATACCCAGCTAAAAAATAATTATATGTCTATGTCTGATATGTCTAAAGTAAAATTTTACAAAGTTAAAATTGACTGCATGTTCTCAGAAGGTCTATTTACAAAACTCAGCAACAACATTTTAAAACCAAATGTTTTTCCACACATGCATTTTATGATGCTTCTCACTTAAAACTCTTGTAAACTTCCTGATATTTTTTTCCTTTGGTTACAGAAATAAAAAATTGGGGGAAAGAAATAATGGCTAGAAGGCACAAGAATTAAAAGAATAGTGAATAACATGGCAAATTTCATTCCTTTATTAATTTACTTATACACCTCTTTTCTCAAGAATGATTTGAAAAATTTGTAGGCACTGCAAGCAGTACTGAAATGCTATAGTGAGGTTAAACTTAGTATTGTACAATTACCTTAGCACCAGGTGCTCCAATTTCACCTTTTGGACCTCCAAGCCCTTTGTGTCCCTGAGAAGAAAAATGTAAATTAGCATCTGTGTCCTGTTCTTGTTTCAACGTTCAAAACTCATAAAAGAAGAATCAAAACTAAACTCATAGAAAGTGCATTATAGAAACAAAACATAAATTCAAAGTTGTTGGTCAAAAGAGTCCCAAATTCTTAATAGTTCTGAAAGTTTATTCAAAGAAAATTAGCTTCCTCATTTACATAATATGTCCAACTTGCAATGTCGGCAACCATCAAATTGTAACTTTGTGACAATTTAATCTAAAGCAGCAAGTGAAATCATATCAGTTTTACAGGAAACACTGTGTTATAGAGGTCACAGCATTACAAAAATGAGTTATATTTTAATATAAGAATAAGATTAATATAAGAATGATTTTAACATAATATTGATATTCAAAATATAACTGGTTCTCTGTATCCACAGGTACTGCATCTATGGATTCAACCAAGTATTGGGAATATTTGGAGGAAATGCAAGTTCCAATTGCTAGTGACTCATCCTCCACAGCTAGCTTATAATGGCTGCATCTATGCTGAATGTATACAGATTTCTCTTTCTTAATTATTCTCCAAACTATGCAGTAGAGTGACCATTTTCATAACATTCACATTGTATTAGGTATTATAAGTGGTCCAGAGGTAATGCGAAATATATGGGAGGATGTAACATGCATATACTATGTCACTTTATACAAGGGAATTACGTATCGATGGATTTTGGTATCCATGCAAGGGCCCACAGATACAGAGGAACAGCTACATTTAATAACTAGTACAGCAGCAAACATTCTAATCAGCTCAACTACTTGAAACAGAGACTAGTAAGATA